GGCTTCAAGCTTTCGCCAGCGCTGACAAGCTCAACCCTGAAGTGCGAACGGCAAAATGCGCAACGTGATGTGGTCTGAAAGTTGGCTAGTCTCAGCAACGGCCGCCTGGCGCAAAATCTCGACATCGCACGCAGATTCGCAAGGACGAAAGGTCAAGAGCGGCCGGTCTACCAGGGTCTTTGCCGGCAAACCTCCGACAGTTTGAATTACCCGGATATCGATTCCATCTTCCGCAACGCAATGTGACAGAGCCGTTCGATTTATAAGTCCAGAGCATTTTCTCAATGATGCCCGTTATAGTCCCATCGCCTCACCTACCCGCCTGAGTGAACTAGGAAAACTCGACTTGCACCTTGAAACTAGACAGCGGTATCTCCTATCTCAGCAAAACTTTAGGGACGGAACGCGCTGCTCGACCGCAAAATGGGTGATCTTCGACCCCTCGAGTACTTCGCTGACCGCGCAGAGCAAGATATGCAAAACATCTCAGCTCCAAGCCGAGAACGCTTCAAGAGACCTTGGTCGCCGCGTGTCGGACCATCGCCTTACATGAAGAAGATGCCGGGCTTGCAGGCCAGATATCTGCACGGTCGGACAGCCCAGGTTGTTACTGGACTTTGAAGTTCGGCCTTGGTTTTGAGGAAGCCACTTCGGACGATTTTGTCGAAGCCGACAAAGACTTGAACACGACATCAGGGAATGGCATGGCCAACCCAGCCACACGATTCCATCTTTGGATCTATGCCGCCAGACCGGACGTCAACAGCATCGCTCACACCCATTCGCCCTTAGGTTCAGCACTCGCAGCGGCGGGCAAGCCTCTGATTCCATGTCAGATGGACATGACGCCATTATAGGACGACTGCGCCTTCTTCGGAAGATGGTTTGGTCTTCTTATTCCTGACCAAGGGGGTGTCATCATTCGCAATGCTCTGGGAGACAACAAGTCGATTTTGTTAAGAAATCACGGCCAACTGACCGCGGGTGTGTCAGTGGAGGAGGCCACCTATTTGTCCGTCTATCTCGAACGTGCCGCTGGTACGCAGCTGTGCGCTTCTGTATACGGAGAACCAACGCTTGTCCCCCGCGATTTGGCCATACCAGCTCACGATTACCTCCTCAAGCCCGTGTCGTCAATGCCGCCTTCGACTACCGGAGCAGAAAAGCAGATCGGGCTCATGGGCCTCTGCCTGGGACGAAGGGAAACGGGAAGCTGATCGAAAATCGCCATTAGGGAGAAAAGAATAAGGGCTTGCATTCACATTCTCAGAGTACCAGGCATCAACACGATAGCAGCCCTGACCAGGTGTACATATAGTTGAGTCTGAGTCTCTGATATTACATCAAGCATAGTCAAACTTCCCATAAAAACTCGAAATTCCCCAAATCCCAGCTGAATGACAGCGAGTCGAATAATGGCAGGTCCAGTTCTAAGGGCGTGGCGTCTTGTAGCGAGTCATCGCGGCGACCGGTCTGCGAAGAGTAGTGCTTGGAGTCTTTCAGTAGTCATATCCTCGTCGATCACAGGCGGCAAATCGAACTCAATATCAAGACTACATGGCCTTGCAACGTCTTCCAATATTGAGCGAATGTACGATGCACAAGCATGCGCCGCCATCCACATCATTCCAATTGTGTCGAGCAGACCAAGGCAGCGAGGTATCACATTGGACATGACCTGGATGGCAGTAGGCTGCATCCAAGGCCAAGCCCGACATTCCCAGCATATGTGGAGAAGAAGGATTGCTGCACCAAAAAGAATGTGCGCCGCCTGCCAGGTCTACGTAGGTCAGCTGTTGGACATTAGAATGGTCGCTGACGCTTTCAATGATATGCTTGCAGCGGTTGGCAGCCGAGGTGTTGGTCGATCGATTTTGGCTTTCAGGTAGAAATACATGGTGTGCCGAAATGGGAGGGAACCTGTTGGAACTACATGTTCTGAGCTCGCGTACCATTCCTCTAGTGCTGATTCGATGCCGATCAGCCAGGCATCAAGCCCTTGTGACTGTAGCTTTGCGGTATCCTCCAATAAATGGAGCACTCGATGAACCTCAATTTCGATCTGCCGATGATTGTAGAGATGCTGAGAGGTGCAGTGCTGTCGATTTTGTGTTGCGGCACCCTCAGGCACTATATGGGGGATGAATTCTTCAGGGAATGACAACGGTAGCCTCAACATGGGCGGACAAGCCACGATCCATGTTGTACGTAACCCGAAACAGCCTTTGACGTGTCTCTTGCTCCTCCTGCGACGTCTTGCTGGCTGAGGGTCAAGGGATGTTCTTACGCCTGCCGCCGTACATGCCCACGGACTGGCGGCCATGGGTTTAACATGTGCATAATGTTCCTGGAGCAGCAGTGCCTGCCCTGTGTTGGGTGGCCAACTTCGAGACCACACGATGCAATCCCTTTGGCCACCCATTCATGCCACCCACAAAGCGGTAGTGATAAATACAGAACTTGTCCCACCTTGGTTCGCGGCTGCACGAGTTTTGAAATGGGGCTGTGTTCTGGTCACCGTTATTCGAATGAGCTGGAGCTCCAAGCAAAGCTGGTTAAGGCTTGCTGTTGAAGTGTACTGAGGTGCTTACCGTATGTGATCCCCGATGGGCGCGCGGCAATGACCGTCGCGACGCCTGGCGAACGATCTGTGCAGAATTGAATGAAATAGGAGCATAAACTGGCTAGACTTGCCATTGCGGCGTCTTGGCCCACTAGAGCTCTCACCAGCGCGTAGGCGTGGGTGGATACCAACCTCCTATGGTGAAATTAAGGAACCCACGATACACCGCAATCGTAGGGGCGTCAAGGGGCTGTGGGTACGTGAGAATAGTCTGTATATCAGGTTTCAATGCGAATCCAGTGGCCGAAATGTTGCAAGATGTGTCGTACAACTCTGGATACCTGTCGAAGAAAGTAGGATCCATTTTGTACAACGAAATGCCGCGGTCCATGTGCAAAAACCAGAAAGCTGCCCGGGCGGCACGCGGGGATGAGAACAACGACGGTATATCTGGCGCTGGGAGGAGACTCTCGAGATCTGCATCGGCGCTTGTCTCATCGGCGCCGGACATGGCAGGGATAAGGTCAGTTACTCGGATATAGACCTTAACGGGGGGCGCTCCGAGAATGAGGTCACTCATACGCGCTTCGACCACGTAGCTGCTGACTGCATCACAGAAGATCTGGTCAATGTGCGGATTCGCTGCGTGAAGTCGGATTATCCGATCCCGGACTGATGGAAATGGAATCCAGTCAACCACACACGGATATTGATTCCTGGATTGGATCTGCGTTGGTCGGTAATTTTCATGCAGCTTCTGAAACGTATCTGGCGATGGGTCGACTTGCCAGGCGGTGAGATTGGCGATATGGTAGAAGCGCGTTTTGGCATACCAAGTCATAGCGCTCGGTCGCGCAACGCTATTGAACATTGACAAGGCCATCAGGACTGGTTGGTAGAGACTGGTTACGTCGGCAATCAGCATATCTTTGGACTCGGCCCTGCAACGTGAAATGGATTCGGCATACCTTTTCTGCTGTTGAGGGCGAGTTGACTGGAACCACGATGCATCGAGCTCTTTCTTCAGCAGAAGCCGAATGACCTGGACGTGATCTGAGAAGGACGAGTTTGATTGCTTCCAAACGCTGTTTGCCAGGGCATTCCAACCAGTCCCAGATGCGAGGGCATTTGCGTACGACTGGGGACCCATCTGATAATCAAACGACCATATATTCGGAATCTGCACATACGAGAGAGGCTGCGCATTGGCAAGGCCCACTTCCGGGGCCATGGTGCCTTCCAGAGCTTCAGGCCCGCCCCAGGCATTCTGGAGGCTCGCGGTTGTACGATTCATAAAAGTCGGAAATGATTCGTTGTTTTCTTCAGCAAGGGCGGTACTATACAGCGGGCGAGAGAGCTCGTCTAAGAGCACAGGTTCGCAGACATCGGGCACAAGAGTCAACAAGTCTTCGGGCGAAGAACTCGAGATCTGGACCCTGGCAGTCTGTCCCACACGGTCGGAAACCCCTGTTTGTCTTTCGTCCTCTTCTGGTGTGTGTTTCACGACGGGAATACCATCCAGCGTTTGAGACATAGAATCGGTCAACATCTGTATCGTAGCGCTCACACTATACAGTTTGTTTTGGACGTCGACAAGCTCGCGCCGCAGTGCTCGATTTTCTGTCTGCAGTGCCTCAATCTGTTCAGCATTGGATTCATCGGCGCTGGTACGGTGCTTTAGATCTCTCACGCATTCTGCTTGACGGCGACGATATGCACGCTGGGAAAGGCGATTACGTAGCTTTCTGTTATGACAATGGTTCAGAAACAAGTAACATAGCCTGATCTTCAAGGCAAGGATCGGGGAGAACCACGCACTTTTTATTCTGCTCCGAGCTTGTAGACAGTTTATTCGCCATTGTTAGAGCTTCCCGACAGGTGTGCGAAATTTAAATTGCTCGAAGTTTTCGGGGCCCGTCGTCAACCATCCGGCTGTTCCCCTAACTTGATCGATGTCAGCCTACGCAGCTTCCTCATTTATTGTGTCAAGCCTCACAGCTCACAGCACGATCAGCCAGTCTCTCTGCATTTCTAACCTTCACCGTCCAAGCGTTCAGTCTGACGGCCAAAGTGACTTCTAACCTCCCGCATTCAGAAGTTTCAATATTTTGTATCCGGTCCCACCGTGGGGGAGCAATTCAAATAATTTACTCGTCGAGTACCGAAGAATAGGCGCAATAGGCGGCAAAAAGGCGGGCGTTTAGGATTCAATCAAGCGGAAAAGCCCAGCCCTTGTCGGCTTTTGGCGCCTCTCAACTACATACCACTTCGCTTTTGCGATCATTTCCGCCCTATGACTTGAAGTCCATCAACCAATTTTCTGTGGGCCATGCGTCGATTGGTCATGTGCTTTCGAGTTGAACACATGGGGCTGGGCCGCTTTCCCACAGCATCTTCCGCTTCGTTTCTGCCTCTAGCTTCTGCCACACGGTCCACACCCACCTGCTGAATTGCCCAGTGCCTCTTGGGGAAAGCCACAGCATGCCTGAGACCTTTCCCCAAAAGATTTTGTGGATAGTGGGCAAATCGCCGCAAAGTCTTCGAGTTGCGCCCAGATTACCGCTCGTTGTTGCTGGCCGTAGATGGCATCGAACCTGGTCCTAGCGACAGCGCTAGCGAGGCATCGCTACAAGAAGCAGAGAAGATAGCTCGCGATCTCCTAGCGGAGCGTCCTGTTACAGAGTTACCGCATGTTGCCGCGTGGAGAGACGCCTACAAGGCTTTTGGTGCTAAACCGCAGCGCACCGGAACAATCTTGAGGCGCTGACATGGCGGGTAGAAGCCGCGTGTAAACAGATTAACTGATCATTACAATGCCATCTCGGTCAGACACCAGATCCCGGTCGGAGGTGAGGCTCTAGAGAAATATTGTGGACCGCCACGTCTTATCCGAGCAACGGGCAAAGAGGCTTTTCACACTGTCGTGAGCGGAGAAACGATTCTTGAGCACCCACCTGCCGGAAAAGTGGTGTGGTGTGACGAAGCCGACATCACTTGCCGCCGCTGGAATTGGCGACAGGATCCGCGTACTGCATTGACTGATGATACCACGCGCGCATTGTTCATCCTAGATGCGCACTCCCCTGTGGCCGACAGCTCTCTTCTGGCTGCAGCGGATGAGCTCACTGAGGCTCTCAAAAGATTGGGGACTGACGTTCAAGTTGCGCGCCGAGTTATAGGCGCTTCCAATAGTTAGTAGGACAAAAGTGATACGGGAAATTTGGGAAAGGTTGCAAGTGGTTCAAGAGTGGTTTGTCTTTCGGACAGGATCCGTTCCTCAATGTCGAAGAGCTGATGACCAACGCCTTATCGTCCAAATCTTGTTACCCTTTTGCGGTGGTGTGATAAGAAATGAAGACAAACGGATTTCTGCCTCATGGTTCAGGTCATCTTCTGGGAAATAACCGGCATTGCGGCTGCTGGAGAAACTGAGACCAGTGTGAATAGTGACAGGACCGATCATCTTGAGCATTCCACGCGCACCTCAAAGTTGCTTAGAAGTAGCCGCTTAATTGAGACAGCGTGCACACAATCTTTTGTAGCAGGGAGTCAATTCAGTTGAGAAGGCTCGACGTGATTGCGAAGGATACCAATGTTTTCCGTGTCGTTCATAGTACAGGGGTATGTTTACATGACACAGCTCAAATTCACTATCAATTCTACTGTCAGCATCCTTACACACTTCTCCAAATAGCTGGGGTCAACGAACCTTTTGTGCAGACGTGTTGACCGCCTCACCTTCATTCACATTAAGGACCCTGAGCAGAAGGACATTCCACTCGGAATCTTGTCAAAAACTCTTCATAGTCCACGTCACCCCCGGGTACGCGACTGCACATCCTCGAGGGAGTATTAGAGGTGGAAAATCAGGGAATATGAAAGAGGCACGCGCGGAGGCAATAGACCGAGTCTTCCATATGACAATATGAGAACAATGTGTCAACAACAGTAATCAGCATCAAGGCATGTGAGATTAGTGACGCGATATATCAATGCTCTTCATTTCGACAATATCGGCAACGACCCTGCTTATCTCGTCAATCATTTCTCTCAAACCGGGTTTTACACCCTTCCGATCTTCAGCTTTCAACTCTTGACTCATCTTCCACTTGCCCACCATACTCTTGACTTCGATCTCAATCCCAATGATCGCTTTCTTCATGATTTCGATGTATGGCTTCGGCGCGTCATCGACCTCCCATGCTGTCCCTTTGCCGTCAGGTTCCTGACCTTTTGCTGCAAGTTCGGCCTTGGGAGTCGAGTCATACTCCAGGCTACCCTCCGACATCCTTGTCAAGTCCTCCACTTGCTTTGCAGATACTGGCCTGTCTCAACTGCTTCCTTGTCATGGAATATCCTGGCAATCCCTCTGACTTCCTTAGCCACATAATCCCATGTAAGCACAACCTTTCCACTTGCCGGTTTCGTCCGCACGTACCATTTTGGCGTGATGCAGTGCTGGCTAGATGACGCAAAGGACACCGTCACCTCCGTAATAATGCAGCCATTTTCTGACCCAGTCGCCTCGATAACTGCCTTGGAATGCGGATTTGCCTTTGCCAAATTCCACGGAGTTTGCATCGCTCCAGTCCTTGCACTGGTTGCTTGACATTGCCCACTGGCGGCGCATCTGCCTGACCAGACGTTTCAAGGGCCGTGAGGTTTGTTGGTGGATCAACGACGCAAGGAATGTATGTGTGCCGGATCAAGGGAAAGTTGTCTGAGCTGGTTGCGCTAGTCAGAAGGCCAAGGGGGTTGTTTTGAATGAACTCAATAAGAGGCCTGAGCCGGGTTTCTGCATGAACGGAGCGGAGATACATATTATTCGTTCGATCATTTTCATCTTTTGTGAAGTCGCTTGTTGAAGGGTCAATAGGTAGCGATGCAGGGTGCTGGGCAATCGCGGCTATTATGTGGTCGAGGGCCAAGTCTATATTGACAGAATTTTGAGCAAGCGTAGGGCGCTGGGTTATCAAGGGCGCACCGGGTTATGAGTTTGCCTTTCAGACAATTGAGCGGTCCGTTGGTCACAGGCCAAATTTCTAGCAACAGGGGCCTGTTGGTGCTCAACTTCGGGGAGCATAGGACGGTGGCGATGCGGCGTAGATCCTACAGATATTGCAATCTAGAAGACCCAGAGCCTGCCGAATTTAGCCCACCAATTAATTATCTTTGTGTAGGAACCTCAACCTCTACTTCGAACAAGGAAGGAATGGTAGACATGAGTCTTAATTTCGTAATAATGTGTCTCGAAGTCGACCTTCCACTCCTCCGAGTGTCTCTAATACCACGGACTTTGCCGGAATTACCACCGCTTGGTATTGTAATATCAGGTTCACATATGAGTCTACCCGTCCAGATCGGGGCTGACTGCATCCCACGCTGATTTCGGAAGAGTTATAAGTGGTCAGAAGGTGTAGGCACACAGTCACAAGCCATTCAACTAGCCACTTGGTAACGTGGGGTGTCTCTAGAGTGACCCTACCAGTGAGCCTTGTTATATCGCGACCAAGCGGGGCAATGCCCAGGTGGAAGGCAGCAGCGAGGGGCGCAAAACGGCAAGTGGGATGTCGTGTGTTGAATGTTGATACGAGGAAAGAACGGTTCGTTTATTTAGTCGTGCCGTCTTCCGTCTCTGAGCCATCACTTTCCATTTGTACTAAAACGCCTCTATCTCAACCACCTTGAAGCACATCGTCAGAATAGAGCGACCTCCCGTCAATCGATCACTCACCTTGGATTCCTCCAAACAAAGATGTCTCACCAAGGCTGTCCCAAGTGCGGTGCCACAATCAGCAGCGGCAAGACCTGCAATTCCTGCGGTGCGGTGAGTACTATTAACTTTGTTCTCTGACCAAAACCCGGCCATCTTCATCGAAGCTGTGAATCGTCCGTGTACATATTTGCTGATTTGATGGTGGGGGTGTGCTGGTGCAGACTTGCCCTCGATAGGATCAAGCGAGGGGTCAAGCAATCAGAGGACCAACTCAAGGATGAAGAATTGATGAGTCACGACGAGATGAACGAGTGGCTACGGCCCAAGAACATGATGCCGATGAGCAGGAGACTTTGCTGGATGCGCAGCTCACGGGATAGCTTAATTTGTCTGCTTCCTGACTCACTCATTTGAGATAATGAATCAACACCACAAAACAAGTTGTTTGGATTCCTTGACCATTCTTTTGCTCTGGACATGCTCCAACCCCTCCGTTCAGGCTGGAATAACCCTGTCGAAGAACGCCAATAGATCTCGCAATTCAGCGGCTGCAGTCGAATGTCCCATTCCTGGGTACAGATGGCCATCAATATCTTCCTTATCCACCCATCTAACCAATTCCTCATTTCCTTGGACAAACAGCTTGGATGGCACAAGCATATCCATAGTTCCATGCACGTAAAACCACTTCTTGGCACTCGCCACGTCTTCCACCGGTGTATCTTTCCTCAGCGCTTCAATTCGGTCTCTCAAAGGCAAATACCCACTCAAGCATATAACTCCTCCAATTTTATTCCTCGACCGCCCTGTCAAGCCCCAAACAAGACTGATTGCGCAACCCTGGCTGAAACCACCGACAAGAATCCTCTCTGGGGGTGTACCGCTCTTGATCTCCTCTTCTACCAATTCATCGACCATGGCAACGCTGTTCAAGATCCCCTTTTCGTCGTCCCGTGCATCATCCTCCTCGACGTGGCCAGGCACACGTGGCTTCATGGAATGAGGCAGCGCTTTAGGCACGTACCAGGCACGTGTCATCGCTTCGTGATTATGAGGAGCATTCGGAAGAACCCACTTGAGGTATTGCACCTTGTTGTAAAACTGAAATTGCTGTGCAAGACCCAGCGGAATGCCCTCAGCATCGTCGCCATAGCCGTGGAGGAAGATCAGAGTGGCAGATCGGTTCGCCGAGGAGGCAGGAACGCTTGGCTGCACGACGTAGGGAGGTTTGGCAGACATCTCGTGCTGTTGACCTTCTCACATATATGCCCTGAGCCGCTTGTCCAATATATGGTCCTTGTTATTAGCAGACACGAGTACTCGAAGCCATGTCTAGGGGCAGTTTGCATGAGGGAGAAATAAGATTTTGTATGACAAGCCCAAAAGCCTCAAGTTTCAAGTTCCAATTGCGAACCTACCAGAGAAGAAAAGCTCCGTAAGCTACGAAGTCATGTCTGATGACACTCTCGGTTCTGATCCACATACTGACATCCCGGGCGAAAGCAAGTGAGTGCGGGGGAGGAAATGAGAGAGAGTGCAGACTCGGCGCCTGCGAGTAGAAGGAGGCCTTCCAATAAAGAAGGTAGGCCGAAAGGCCTTCGCGATCACGTGCTTAAATCACGTGATAGAAATGTTCTCCGCAACGGTCGGCCGTCGCAGTGAGGGGAGCCCTCTCGATATTTTTGACTATTCACTTCTCTACACCACTGAGCCGCAGAATCATCGCGTCTGCAGTTGAACAGGCGGTCCGCGGACATCACCATGAAGTCTCTCAAGAGAGGTCTGGCAAATGACCCGAATGCTGCCAACATTGCCAGCAAAGTCTTCATCCGGTCCACCAGAAACGGCCGGGTCCAGAAAGTTGTCAAGGAACAATATCTAAGAAAGGACATTCCATGTTCCTCGGAGCTATGCTCAACCTGCGCCTCGACGGCTGTCGCAGACGCCAATGGAGTTGGTAAGGTCTTGCCCTACTTAATCTCAGATGCGATACTGACCAACCAGTCCCAAAGTTTGTCCTTTCGAAACGTCCAATTGGCACCAAGGCTTTCCCAAAGGGCCACTACCTACTCCCAGATACCAACGTCTTGCTCAGTGGAATGGATGTATTTGAAGAGGCAGAACACTTCCATGATGTTATAATCCTGCAAACAGTCCTAGAAGAGTTGAAGAATAGGAGTCTCCCTCTCTACAACCGGCTGATGGCCTTGACGAAAAGTGAACAAAAGCGCTTCTATCTCTTCTTTAACGAATTTAGAGTCGAGACTGCGGTCAGAAGGGACGAAAGCGAGAGCATTAATGACCGAAATGATCGTGCGGTGAGGAGAGCTGCCTCTTGGTATATGTCCCACCTGTCAAATGCTACAAGGAGCGCTCCCGCAATAGTCGTTCTCACCAACGACCAGGATAATAGAACCAGGTCCAAGAAGGAGAACATCATCGCCCTTTCTCTACGAGAATATGTGTCGGGGCTAAATGACTCTGACAGACTTCTTGATATGGTAACCCAAGGTGCAGATGCTCGAGACAATCGTGCTGCGCAGGGCGAGTTGTTCTATCCAGAATACTACTCCATGTCCAGGATGATGACGGGTATCAAGTCTGGGACATTGCATCAAGGTGTCTTCCATGTCTCCCCATACAACTACCTGGAGGGGACAGTGAAGGTGTCTGCATTTGACAAACCACTCTTGGTTCTTGGGAGAGAGAGCAGCAATCGTTCAATATCTGGAGATCTAGTTGTTGTTGAAATCCTCCAGAAGGACCAATGGAAGGCGCCTTCTACGCAAATCTTGGATGAAGAAGCAGTGAACCAGAACGAAAATGCCGAAAACGAAGAGGCGGAAGAGGCTGTTGTTACCGAGAGAGAACGGCGTACCCTGCAAGAAGAAGTAAAGCGAGCACACACTGCTGGTGCTCAAACTCGTGCACAACCCACCTGTCGAGTAGTCGGTGTACTGAAGCGAAATTGGAGACAGTTGGTAGGTACGATTGACGCAACTTCCGGAAGTGGATCAGGTCAACGGCAAACTACAGTCTTCCTCAATCCAATGGACAAGAGGATACCGAAAATTCGAATAAGGACTCGACAAGTCGATGAGTTGATCGGAAAGCGTATCGTCGCTGCAATTGATTCTTGGGACCGCGATACGAGATATCCCATTGGCCATTACATCCGATCGTTGGGTGAGTTGGAGACAAAAGAAGCCGAGACAGAAGCACTCCTCCTTGAGTACGATGTTCAATATCGTCCTTTCCCCAAAACCGTCCTTGACTGCCTCCCAAGCGAAGGGCATAATTGGAAAGTCCCATCAGATCCCTCTCACCCTGGCTGGAAAGCCCGCCGCGATCTGAGAGAATTGCTGGTCTGCTCAATTGATCCACCAGGCTGTCAAGATATTGATGATGCCCTACACGCTAGACCTCTGCCAAATGGAAATTTTGAGGTCGGTGTGCACATTGCTGATGTTTCACATTTCGTCAAACCGAGCAATCCCATGGATACCGAAGCCGCAGCACGTGGTACCACCGTGTATCTCGTTGACAAAAGAATCGATATGTTGCCAATGCTCCTTGGTACTGATCTGTGCTCTTTGAAGCCATACGTTGAACGGTATGCCTTTTCAACCCTTTGGGAGATAACACCAGATGCCGACATTGTGTCTGCAGCATTCACAAAATCGGTTATCTTGTCACGTGAAGGATTTTCATATGAGCAAGCACAGAAACGTATCGATGATGCCAGTGCTACCGATGATCTGACTCAGGGTATGCGGACATTACTTGCGCTTTCCCAGAAGCTTCGACAAAAACGAATGGATGCTGGCGCTTTGAACCTGTCCAGCCCTGAGGTCAGAATTGAGGCCGATAATGAATCTTCGGATTCTCTTGCAGATGTCAAAACAAAGGCACATTTGGCTACAAACTCCTTGGTTGAAGAGTTCATGCTTCTCGCCAATATCACTGTTGCCAAGCAAATCCAATCAGTTTTCCCACAAACAGCACTGCTTCGAAGACATGCCCCACCACCGGCATCAAACTTTACAGATCTATGCGAACAGCTGAAGAAGATGCGTGGCCTAGAACTTGACGTATCAAGTTCGAAGGCACTTGCTGATTCTCTGGATCTATGTGTAGACCCAGAGCACCCTTTCTTCAACATTTTAATCCGAATCATGGCCACGCGATGTATGACCTCGGCCGAGTACTTCTGCAGCGGATCACACGCTGAGCCGGAGTATCGACACTACGGCTTGGCGAGCGAAATATACACCCACTTCACCAGCCCTATTCGACGATATGCCGATCTCCTGGTTCATCGACAGTTAGCATATGCAATTGGATATGATGGGGAAGGCAGTGAGATCGTCGACAATGATCTTCGCAACAAGGGAAAATTAGAGAGAGTCTGTCACAACCTCAATTTCCGCCATCGAAATGCGCAATTGGCCGGCCGAGCTAGTATAGAATACTATGTTGGGCAGGCGTTGAAAGCGCGAGCTGAAAAGACCCCCAATGCGGCCATAGACGTGGATGCGTTCGTCCTACGGGTCTTTGAGAATGGAGTCGTTGTCTTCGTCCCACAGTTTGGAATTGAAGGGCTCGTCCGGCTCGAAGACTTCGAAGCGGTCAACCGCAACAACACCGAGGGTGCCACGAAACCAGAGAGCGAATTTGACGCAGACAATTATCGATTGACCGTGACAGAAAAGGGGCACGAGAAGAACAGTGTCTCGGTAGCGTTATTCCAACAGCTGAAGGTTCGAGTGAGCTCTGAGGAGAAAGGAGGTGCTCGAGAGAAAGGAAAACGGAAAGTCCGGGTTGTTGTCTTGTCTCGACAGTAAATCTATCTGCAGGAAATGTATGGATTCCTTGCACCGCATATGCTTCATGCACGAGGAATAATGCCAACCTCGATAATTGCATAACCCTAAGATAACCCCCTTTGCTGCAGACATAATGTTCAATTTCTTCCCCATGCTTCCAAAGACGGCCGCGTCTGGAAGGTTCCTCGTGATATTCCAATTTTGCATGAATAACAGTAGGGACAACTCCAGGGTCGAATAGACCATGTTACCTCTCGCATCTCGATTCGGTTACACAATTACTCTCAAATTCCAGGCTGAAGTCTACAATCTCAGCTATCTTCTGGCTGTTTCAGCCCCATTCACTGCCTCGTGACAGGTACCGCGCTGATCACCACTTCTCGGCGCTCGGCCTGATCTCCAACTCATTCGTGAAGCCCGATTTCGGCTGGGTATGGAGATACCAATACGTTTCTGCAATCTACAGCACGCGTACACGCAAAACACACAGACGTTAGCCAACCAACTGATCGGTCTCGAAACCACCGCGAGGCACACAACGGGAATGAAACCGGAAGCCAGCAACAACTCACCGTCTCGGGACTGATCTTCGCGTCCGGGCCGGCATCCTTCATGAAGTCCGCGGTGCCGGGGGTGTCGATGATGCCGTCGATGATGGCGTGCGCGACGTGGATGCCCTTGGGGCCGAACTCGCGCGTGAGCGACTGGACGAGCGCGCGGGTCGCGAACTTGCTGACGGCGAAGGAGGAGAAGTTCGCGGATGCTTTGAGGGACGCGGTCGCGCCCGTGAAGATCAGTGTGGGCGGGTGCGTGGTGCTGTGATTGGTCGCTTTGAGGAGGAGAGGCAGCACGGCTTGGCTGAAGTGGAAGCCGCCTATGCTGTGGAGGGTAAGTAGGGGAGGCCGTGTTAGTGAGGTGATAGAGATCGGGGTTCTTCAATGGTAGTTGCAGTGACAAGATGTTTTGGTGCTTCCGGGTTGTGATATGATACGGTCGTTAGAAGAGGGCAGGAGAGGGTGATTGCTGGAGGCAGCTTACCAGTTCACGTTGAAGGGAGCAAGGAAAGCCTCCTCGGTCTGCTCAAGGAACGGTTTGATCGTGAGTTTCCCAGCGGCGTTGAATATCGCAGCCTAGACCCAGCACAGCATCCCCAATCAGCATCTCGTCTCCATAACGGTTTCCTCCCACTCTCCCTTCACCCGATCCCAGGAACCCCTCAGTCGACTTACCGCACAGGTAGAATCCGCACCAAACTTGGCATCAATCTCCTGGAGGACATTGTTGATACTGTCCGGCGAGCTGACGTCTGTCGATACACCGAACGCGTCGCCGCCACTGTCGTTGATCTCTTTCTCCAACGACGAGTAGCTGCTGGTGCTGCGGGCGAGCAGAACCACGGAGTATGCTTGGGCGAACTTCTTCGCGATTGCTGCGCCAGTTCCGGGTCCGACGCCTGCGATGATGGCATATGCTTTTGAAGTGGCCATGGTGGACGTACTGCGTAGATTTGGTGTTGGTCAGGTGTACTGTTTGAGATGGATATTGCTGACGACAACAACTGAAATGGAGCATTCACATGTCGTCAGGAGCTGTTCGGGCTGTTAGTCAGCAAAGGTGTTTGTCGATCAGGCTGGCCAATCACGCTGCCGCACGGGAATGCTACCGCACATCTTCTCGAACACGGTCCTGGGTCGGAACTAATGCGAAGGTTCAGGGACAAGCTGGAACTAATCCGGCCCTAAAATTGAAGGAGAGCGTAAAGTTCCAGTCCGTCAATGACAGGTCTCCGTTGCTCTATAACAATATCTATCAGAGTGGGCTGTTGCCTTTGCAATGGTGTGGGCTTGGGACTCCAGTCACTTCACCTAGCCTTGTCAACCCATGTATCGGTATCCAGCACCGGTTTGCCCATAACCGTCGAAACTACTTTGCTGAATAGAGATTCTATGTATTCAGCCTCATGAATGTACAAATTGACCTCAGCAACCCGTCGCTATGGCCTACGTTTAGGCTGTGGAAAGTCGGTGTAAATGAAACGTCGTCATCTTGATTATATGGCCACCGTGGCATCCATAGCAGATCCGTCGGCAAGGGCGTGACCTAAGCAGAGCCACCCTGGATCGTAGCAAGCTGAAACTTCCGCCAGAGGAGTTGGGCGAGGAGCCGGGAGCCGGGAGCCGAGGGCTCAAAGCTCAGTAGCCAGTTTCGCTTCGCTGGAGGCACGTCCGCTCGCATTGTTTTCATTAGACATGTTTTCCTCTCTCCATTCGCCTTCAGTGCCCTTGCTGACCTTTGGTACATAGAAATGTTTGTCAATTCGAGAGAGTGTGAGAGTGGCGAGAGCGAGAATCTCCAGTGTGAAGTTGAAGACATAAAATGCCGCCTTGGTGTCAAACCAAGCCGGGTGGTCAATTGGCCGTGGCGTTTCCCACGCAGTACCAGCCTTGAAACCAGCTATCAATATGCATAGAGTTGCCGAGGAAGTTATGATCAGTGCCTTGCTTTGCATGCTTCCTTTCCCTAAAGTCGTTTCGTGATGGTCTTGCGGTGGTAGAAATGCGACTGCGAGAAATGGCAAGGGTAGGACTGATATGACAAGCAAATACGTAATAGCAGCCAGTTGAATGTCGCGAGTAGTTCTCCTTGTTTTCATGTTCAATGTGTAGAACGAGAGAACGGTGGCTGTGATGACCATGATGAGTGCTCCCACAATAAGGGCATAAAGCACTTTGATAGCTAGGGCGAGTGCTGCATGCCATCGGAATTGAGGTCTCTTCGCCTTGAAGACACGATGTGCCAATGCCAGGTTGACGAGATAGAGGATCAGGATGCCGGCGTTGATGAAAATACCAGCTGCTATGGCAAGCCTGACGTTTGTACGATGCGTGGCCCATGCAATGCGCAGAATGCAAGTGACTATTCTGGCCATACAAAATCCGAAAAGTAGAACTGATGGACGGAACATATGGCCTCGTAGGCGGTTCCGTTGAAATATTGTCATGTTTGTGACGGCGAATCCAATGTAGATGCTCAACAGCACAGCCAGGGCAGGGACATCGACTGAGACTGTCGGTAAGCCTCCAATCTGGGCTGCCTTCGGGAGATAGGGAGGCTGAATCATGGTTAGAAGTGAGTAATTGGGGATTGAAGGGTCGTCAAAACTCACACCCTCTGGAATATTTTGCATTTGGGACATGGTCGATATGGCGTGCGGCGGCAGGCCACTGAGATTTCGAATGGATTGGTAGCACGTTCTAAGATCTTAACCGATTTGGACGTCGTCTATCAGTAGTTCTTAGATTGGCTGTCATCTCGAAGTGGTCTGAAGGTACGCTTTCAGATGAGGGTGCCATCGCATTAACATAAAACAAGAACCGGGATTCCGGCTCCACCATGTCGTAGCAACGATGCCACGACTCGGGCCCGAAGGCGAACATGATGAGCGCATTCCCTTGCTCCCGTCCTATGTGCGTTGGCTTGGTATGGCTCAAAGCATAAAGAGACAAAAGACTGCTCGCTAGTGATTGGACGAGGGAGGATAAAGCGGCCTCGGAGCGGACCAATTCAAACCTCCGCGCACGAAAAGCGGCCGAATGCCACGTCGCACGAACTCGGTTTTCGGCTCCTCCTAATCTACTACTTGTTTGAACTTACACAGTCACGAATGGTAACTGGGCGACACTTTTGATGGACAGCATGCTAGGGAATCCCCACCAAATTCATTCCGCCGCGAGCGCGGCTGAAGGGCGGCCGTCTAAAAGGCTTCGTAAAGGCACCAGGAGCTGCACTGAATGTTGGCAAGCCACCGCATCCTTGATACTGGACTCGTTCTGATAAGGAACAGGCAGAAGGCGCAAAATACGCTGCGTCTGGGCGTCCGAAGATGCTCGCACTTGCCGAAGATGTGAAGAGCAAGAGCACGAATGTGTCGCCCAGACAATTTCATCCAGGGTGCCCCCCATTGCGGAGTTGACTTCGCGAGACCGGATTTTGCGCCTTGAGCAGCAAGTTGGGAAACTAACTAGAGCACTTCATGGTATTGAAGATAGACTTGGTGGTCAAATGACCCTTCGAGACGACTTTACCCAAGCAGACGAAACGGTCACTCAGTCGGACGCTGAGTCAGATATGCCTGATGAGCTGGGTCCAAATGCGCCGGCCTATCTTCGGTCATTGTTTGATAACAATCTGATCAGCTCAGAGGGTCGCGGCGTTGACACTTTAAAGTTGACTGCTACTACCGGACCACTGATCCGCAAAGCAAGGGAAGAGCTCCAGCGACTAATACCGCCCAAGGGAGATGTAGTCGTGATTGCGAGATTCGCGGACGCTTGGCTTACCACATATCATTCGCTTTTCCCGTCACGGGCAGTCACACAGGGAAGCGCTGAGCTCATAGATCGGCATGATGAGATGATGAGACATGATGTAGAGCCTACAACGTTAGCCATATGGCTCATATCCATTGCCATCACAGTTCAACAGGTGTCGCGAGACGTAGAAGACCAACTCTCTGGTATCAAGAATCCCACCCAGTATTGCAAGACGGTTTCTGAAGCTGTGTCCCACACCATACTGAGGCACGATTCCATTTTGGGCACAATTGAAGGAATCGAAACTGGTCTACATTTCCTGAGATTGTAAGATACCCCAGCTTTTCGATTGTGGTGATCTTGCTGACAGTATACTCGCTGACTAGGCATGCCGGTCGGGGAAACTTCATCAACATGTGGTTAACACTACGACGCATAATAGCGATCTCGGAAGTAATTGGTCTGCCACATGCCGCTCGGTCACTTGAACGAGCAAAAGCTGCCCCCTATTCCACCAATGTAAGACCAAGCCTGTCCAAGCCTGAAGAGACGCGACTTCTCGAAAAGGCCGAGACATGGGCAGGTATCTGCATGATAGATCGCATCGCTGGCATGCTGTTCAATCTACCTGCAGGAACTAAGAGGTACCAATCAGCCAAGCTGGCTGTGTTGGACTCCAATGGCCAGGTTGTCACAAAGGCATACCTTAGCAGCTTGACGGAAATTGCCAAACAGGTGTACGATCTTGACGACGGCTCCGTAACAGGACTTTCGGACGCTGAGCTGTACGCCGAAGCCTTGAGAATTGACCAGGAGCTGATTTCGCTTGCGAGTCTTCCGCCGCAATCTTGGTGGAATACCTACACTCCAAGGGCTCGAGCCGATCAACTATTACAGTACTGGCATGCGTATATTACTATCAGAGTCCATCTCAAACTCACGCTTCAAAGCGATGCCAGTCAAAACTTCGACTACAGTCGCTATTCCTGCATGAATGCATGTTCTACTGCCATTCGCCGATATTTGGATCTTCGACGTGGTCTTCCTGAAGGATTCTTTGTGGGGCGCATTGTGGACCTTCAAGCACTTACAGCTGGAGTCGTTCTCGTTCTGGCATATCACAACTCGAGGTCCGCTCGGCATGTCCAATTCCAAGCTCAGACCATCGAGTCTCCAGATCTCTTGATTGCACAACTAGTTGATCTAATGGATTCCATATCATGTCTGAAAGCCGCCGACTTCGCCAAGCAGGCTGTAATCACCCTCCGCTCTCTTAGCGCGCTCCTCGACGAGAATAGTGCATCGAAAGAACAGGACCTGACCTTGACAGTCCCATTGCTTGGCAAAATCTTTGTCCGCAAGAACAGGAATCCAGTCGCAGCCCCCATTTCTCAGAGCGATGGCACCATTCCGCAGTTATCGCAAGCAACAAATGCTAATCAAAACGTCGCACCAGCCTTTACTCCCGCCACTTCAGATTTGTCAGGCCAAACCCTACCGGTAGCAAACTCATGGCCATGGGATCCGTTGTCTTTATTTATCGAGGATAATGACCGCGAGGCACTATTTCATCAGGCACTTATGACGGAAGATTTCGGACAAATGGATGCCTCAGTGGGTTTCACTGCCTTTGATTTCACTACCTAACCCCTGAAGCCAAGAGGCTGGATCTGCTTTATTTCGTTCCTGCCTCCATGTGTGGATGATTAAATGAATGAAATGGCGTCGTGCGGTCTGGTACACGAATGCAAGATGTACATCAATTCCTAGCAGCTAACGTGTGCCTCAAGCCTCAAAGGATGCATTATAGTGAAGAGCATTTGTCATTTCGAAATGGAGGCTGGCGAAGTGCAAGGGCAGTGCTATCATGCAGCAGTCCAAGGCGAGGCATACTGTCCTAACAACGTCTCTCCCCATACAATGACACGGCCTCTGGGACGCATTCAATTGAGAACGCCTGTGTTTAAGCACTACGGCTCCGAATAGCGACTGTAAGCTCGTTCCAATGTGCACCGAAAGCCTTGTCATCGGAATCAATCAGTAGTGTGCTAAAGCCCTCTCTTGTATTGAGGTACCTAGTAATAGGCCCCTCAAGCACAGCCTCGATACTGGCTTCCAGGAGTAGTGACGCGGTGATCGCGTTGCACCTGCCCCCTTTGACAGCCTCGCCAAGACGTCGAATACCCACCCCCCTGTTTAACTAACAACGCCCTCAGGACTACAGAAACGAAGACCAAAAAGTCATCTAGTTACGCCGCTTGCGATCATATGCATAATCGCAGATGGGTACTACCGAAGGACAACTTAGTCACACAAGGTAAAGCATTGGCATGCTTTGCAATTAGCCCCACCGGAGAAGGAAGATATAGTCAATCCGAAAAGCTAGATTATGGTATTCTGGGGCCCCGGTTAATTTCCAATCATCCTTCTGGGAGAGTACCTGATGAAACAAGAGGATGCGTACATTGTGGTTTCCAAGTACCATTTGACGCGCCGTAAATTATCTAATTATGTACCCTGATTGTTGTGTTTAGCTTTCAACTCCCACATCGTATCACAAATAAGCCGGCTTGAGCGCACAAAAATATGCTCCATCACCCCATTTGCCCCACAGGTGTTAGGGCTTGGGCGTCCCAGGGACACCATGACCCTGACAGAGCAGCAAAGAAGGCGGTAGGAGGGTTTATGTTCTCCACCATTGGGTAGCCCGGTGAGGAGATGGAATCAATGGGATCATACAAGTCAAGAATATGGCCAGAGCTGCGAGGGGGCAAATGTTCAAATGGTAGATTGGAAAATTCCCATTCATTCGGGGCAGAAACATTGAGAGGCATTCGAGTGTCTGGATCAGTGCAGGTGCGTGGAGGATAGCGTTCGCTGACGTCGCACAAATCGGGCGAGCGAGCGCTTTTTCTGCTGGGGAACAAGATGTCGCTGGAAGCGTCGTCGGCCGTGAGATCGCCCTCATCACCATTTACCAAGCCCTGCTGCAAGGTTTCTAGATCTCCATAGAAATCATGCTTTGTGACAAGGACATCTGGACCAATTATCCCTAGCCCTTCGAGGATGTCATGCGTCAGAGGCAGGCCGTTACTGGCTTCCTTTAGCGGCGCACCATCCCACGCCGTTCTTTCTTGCAGCTGTTGATAGAGCTTTTGTATACCTTGGACGAGTTGCTCTTGTTGAATCTCAAGTAGCTCGACGTATCTATGAATGAATGAGTTCCGTGTGACGAGAAGCGAACGACAGGGGCGGGACAAACCCTTTTGGATATCGCCTATTACAAGGTCTCTTGAGCTTGCCAAAAACGCAAACTTCGTTGTTTTTTTCGCATCTTTGACAGGGACTGGATCCATCGCACTAGAGTAAGGTCAGGTCAGATATGGCTATAGACGGGTTAAAGATTCTAGCGAACCTTGGCCTTCTTGATGCGACACCGCTTGCAAGCCTCGCGTGTTCGTTTTGTTTTTGAAGACCGTCGATCCTGTCCAGGTGACGTGGAACTCTGAGAAGACATTGAATATGTCCGCATTTGCCCTTCGATTCGCACGCGCAAGCAATTTCTTTCAGAACATGACACGCGGATGCCTGAAGCTCGTAAACGAAGGGAGTGTATCGGGGGCTGTATTTCAAATACTCTGGTTAGAACAACCTTCCCAATTACTAACAAGTAAAGAAAGACAGCTCTTCACACCGCATCATGTGCCGGGTTGATGATCGTAAAGTATCGGTGCGCTTCCAAGGCCCTGGAAGAACGCTGGCTACAATGTAGACAACGCGATCTACGAGCACCACACCAAGAATTCCCGCGCAGTGCTTGTTCGGCAGACCATTTCCGAAATGCTACCAATGAGACCGTTTTCAGAATCCTAATTCGGCTCGTGGACTGCGCGGATCAGGCGGAACACACGGCAACGAGGTGCCTTTGATGACGACAGAAGAGCACGTGCCCCGCCCCCACCAAGACAGCCTGGGAGACAGGGCTCTGCTGTGTTTTATCAAGTTCCTGACCTGAATTCTATATATCGTGCACGGCACTTCAGGACGTGCCGGAGAGGCTTCCTTTCCGCCATATCCTTGACAGCCGCCTGCCATGGCTACACCGCCAACCTTAAAGCGGCGGCGTGTTGCACGAGCATGCGACAGTTGCAGGAATTTGAAAGCGAAGGTAGGCCAAGCGCACCACCAATTGACACAACTCCAAGCCCAGCAAGCTGATTGATACCTCTTCAAGTGCGATGGCAATCAGCCTAGCTGTGGACGTTGCGCTGGCTATGGCTATGCTTGTCGCTGGGACGAGGCTGATGGTCGCAAGAAAGGTTTGGAAGGCGGCCGAGCTGACTTAGATTTGCTCTCGATGAATGCTCAGGGGCAAAACTTGATGGACGCAATCTCTACATATGACAGCTTGGTTCGGGATCTCCGCAAGAATCTTTCGCCAGAGGATTGCAAAATGGTCGACTTGCGCATCGCCTCAATTCAGCTTCCTAGTCGTTCCAGAAAGCAAGTTGAAAATGGTGATCGTCCCTCACCAGAGCAGCTAGCGGCCGTCGATCAACACCCGATCTCTGTTCAACGCTACTTAGGCGAGGCGAGTGATATTCGATTCTTCCACGCCATTGAAGCCACCTTCGGCCAACAAGAGAGAGATATTTCTGAGGCGCATGTCGACAGCTATGAGCAAGACGGTATTCAACTAGGAACCTCAGAGCCGGGTCGAGGGTGCCTGCCACACAAGACAGCAGCCGATAAATTTGTCAATATATACTTCGCCACCATCCACATTGCTTATCCTTTCATCTCGGAGGCTAGGTTCAGGACGACGTATGAGAAGTTCTGGCAATCGGAGTCGCTAGAGGGCTTCCGCGGTCCCTGGCTATCTATTCTACGTGAGTCTCGCAAAATTGATGGCAAGAGGCCCTAGCATTATGGTGGATGATGGAAGCTATATCTCTCGTATATTGACAAGAGATGTCCAGTACCCATCGCTAATGTCTTCTACAGTGACAATATTTGCACTTGGCTCCTGCTACGAGAGGATCGCCGAGTCTGATGATGGACGAGCTTTGAATGGTCCCAGTTCCCACCAAGATGTCCGTTATTTTGAGCACGCCGTTGCAATTTCCCAGAGGTATACCTCGAAACATACAGTCGAGCATGTTTCTGCTTTGCTTGCCCAATCCTTTTATCTACTTGCCACTTGCCAGACCGACCAGTGCTGGATCACACTTGGACTAGCAGCCAGAATCTCTCAGAGCATCGGGCTCCACGTGGAAGAAGGTGGTCTAAGTCGTGGAGATGCCATTGTGTCACGCGAAACAAATCGTCGGGTTTGGTACTCCGTTTTTGTGCTCGATCGCCTTCTTGCGTTGCAGCTGGGACGCCCACCCTCCATTGGCGACGATGATTTCAATGTCGGACTCCCGTCTCAACAATCGGACGTCGATCTGGTAGCTCATGAAGAACGCCCCAATGCCCCGCAGCAAGGTTGGATGGGAGATTACTTTGTGGCGATGATAAAGTTCTCTGAGATAATTGGAAGAGTTTATTACAACCTTTATGCACCTAAAAAGCCCAGTGATATCGCCACAACGTTGTCGAACATCGATCTTCTAGACACTGAATTGCTGCAGTGGCGTTCAATTCTGGACCGAAAATTGAGATTTGACCTCTCTCATGTTTTTGAAAGCTCAAGAACCTTTCAAAGCCAGGTTTGCTGAGATGCCTGTCATATAGCCGAGTTTCTGTGTGGCTGACCAAAAGTCTAGCGAAATATGCTTGCAGTGAAGTTCTACAATCTTAGAGCGTTGATTCACCGACCCCTGTTGTCGCCTACGAAATTGACAGCGCCATACTCCAACTCCACAGCGTGGTATCAAGGCGAGTTTCATCGCATCTCTATGTCTAAGCGGAAGTGTGTTGAGGCGGCGCAACAAACTGCCAAGCTATTGCATAACCTCAACGACAAAAAAAGTCTTGTGTATGGGTTTCCTTGGTGGCAGATGATATCTTGTCTCCTCTGTGCTAGCTCAATTCTTTTTGTTGCCAGTAGATGCATCAATCTGAACTCAGAGTCAGAGGTAGAGATCTTGAAAGATATAGACTGGCTGGCAGTCGATGAAGATGCCGAAGTCTGCCTTCAAGTCTTCCAGGCTCTCAGTTCTAATTCAAATGCAGCGCGGCTGGCGAGGGACATGATGCAGAGGCTCAAGAATTCGAGAACAATCTCTTACGGTAAGTCCATAGTTCTCTTCTCCTAATATGATGCAACCACAGTGGACGTTACAAGACACCGATCGCGCATCCCTTTGTTAGAATGGTGTCAATCCCATCTTAACTAGGAGCTCCTGCAGATCTTTGGAAAACATCGACTCGCTGACATTCATTTGAATTTTGCAGGGAATGGAATGAGCTATCCTCCAGCTGCGACTATTCCTGCAAGCGGAACAGAAAATACGAATGATGCTCCAGCGAGTACTTCTACATTCGAAAACTCGATGCCGTCACAGCTTGAATTCGGGATGCCCGATCAAGAATCGTTCGATCTCATGTTTCAAGCAATGCACTATGAGGCTTCGGAGCCAGTAATGTGTAAGTGGTCCTCGTTCAATTTCATTTGGTGGTGGGAAGCCCATCCTCTCTCCTCGCCATCGAGGCGTCTCAACCTTCTGTTGTTCTTCCTGCACAGCGACCTCTAATGCGATGCATCAAGCTGACACTCCGTTCTTCAAAGGGTCGGCGCAATTCGTGAACGAATATCATGATCCGGACGCGCATCACCCAGATGCATGAAACTTGAAGCGCGTATGGCTGAGTCGCCGACTGAGTGCTTCTAGTTCATGGAATTGAGACCTCATCTCAATACGAACCATAATTTACTAAGAATAGCACACCTGCTAACTAGTCACTGGAGGAATTTCATGTTTCACGTCCTAGTAAGGCTTGTGCCATGTTGCCCATTTCTACCTACGTGTAACCAGAAGTTGGCAAGCCATTGGTCTTCGCTTCACTCTCTCAGATACTACCCTAATCTGATCTCCTGATTACCCAATGTGACAGGGTTCAGTCTTCGCTCTTCGGCGCGATGCCTATTTCCTCAAAAGTCTCTCTATAGAGATGACAATTTTTATCGAGGGCCCCTGCGGTTGTAGGAGTATTCAGGACACCGCCTGTTCCTAGCGAGGCAACCACTGGTACGGCCTGCCATCCTGGCCCACCCTGAGGATTCTTTGCGAATGTAGCCCAGGAGGTTTGCATGTAATCACTCAATGACCTCTGGTATTCAGTAGCGTTAGTCCGCGGATAGGTGCCGAAGACAATACTTATTTCACTACTGTGGAATACCCCTGCGTTAGGAAGACCTGCGAGTCCGATATTTGGAAACGTCATGTTGTAGAAATAACGCCAGGTGGGAAAGCCTGCATTTTTGCTATCATTGGTATATGTAGCTAGCGGGCAAAGGAATGAGAGATCGTTAACGATGTCTTCGACTTGGTCGGCGCCAGTGGCAGGATACGCCGACAAGATATTGTTGACAAGTTCAGTTTGCCCGGGAAATAAGTTACCAACGTATGCTGTAGCATTTGTCATTCCCACTATGAAGGAGGTAGCCTCGTCGGCATTCGTCCCCGCTAAAATTGGAACATTTGCAACGGAGCGATTGAGTCGAGCATCTTCAGGATAGCGCAGGGTTGTGACATTGTCCGTCACCGGACGAAAGGGTAGTGCGAAACGTTCGATGGTGTTCTTTAACTTCAAGGCAGTTTGATTGCGTAGACAGGTCAAATTCGAAGATGGATGAGTCTGTGTACAGTTCAACGCCGCCGATAAAGCAAACCAACCTCCAGGTGCATTTGTGGTGTTGACGTAGGAAGTCGCTTGTCCAGATTGCATGATTGCAGCTCGGAAAGGGGGATTTTTGGGCATTGTCGTCACAAGAACGTCCACACTAAGCAGAACTAAGCGAAAGCAATTTTCGGCCGGAGCCGGAGCCGGAGGGGGGAGTTTTACCTGCCAGCACCAGCGCTTTCACCAAAGATAGTCACCTTCTTAGGATCTCCCCCAAAGGCGGCAATATTCCTTTGAATCCAATCTAGTGCAAATCCTATGAAGGCTCAGTATTGATTCTGAAAAGGCGCAGTAGCTTGCAACGGCCGAGTTTCCACTCACGTTGGTCAAGAAATCCCAAATTCCGTTCTGTTAAAGGTAGCTCTGGGGAGTTAGGAAATCCAAAAACTGAAAGAGTCAGCCAAGATTAAGATCAAGCTTAGGAGCAAGTAACCGTTTGTTCGATAGTTCAGGGCCACGATAATGACATCTTGGTTCGCTGCAAAGTATGAACCATCATAAGCTGGATGAGAGTTGTATCCGATTCTCAGACTTCCGCCCTGTGAAAGGCTTAGCAAGCATCTCCAATACGTTTGCCAGGACGAACATAGATCCACGCCATCACGGTTTTGTTCTTTGAGGCTGTTCTAGGCACATAGACATTCAGGTTCAGGCAGTCTTCACTCTCACCCGCTGGTGGAGGTGGAGTATTGTACCATGCCATTGACGCATTTCTGGATGCTTCGGGATAATTGAACGCCTGGAGGCATGCGGGTCCATATTGAGTAGCGTTGAAAGGCTTCTCCCAGGGAGTTGGTTTGACAGCGGGAGCGAAACGAATAGGTGGTGCTGCAAAAGGAATTCCGAGGTATTTGTCCACGGGAGCCTTAGCACCTGCCAGCGATGTTGCCATACCGAAGACAGCTCCAGAGTCGATAGTGACCGTGGGAGCGGCATCGGACATGGGAGCTGCATCGCTTGCCGTGAGCAGCAATAGCACAACGAGCGACAAAAGGAAGAAGAAATCCATTGCTGCCCAATATTGAACGAAGCCAACACTCATTGACAGCCGTAGCGTGCCGCCTTCAGGCAATGATGTCGACCATGTATATAAATTACATACATAGTCCCACCGGCACGCCGGCGGAAGTGTCGAGTGGGCCCAGGGATTCGTTTGGAGAAGAACATAGCTAGTCGCATATACCCCGCGTCATAGTCCTTCTAGTTTATGGAGCACTATTTGCAGCCACCGTTCAAGCCAATGGAGTGGATTCGGAGAAGTTCGTAACCCTCAGTCGGACTAGGCTCTACCCTCTACCCAACTGCCGTTCAGACACTGCTCAAGTATAACGTGGCCCGAGAGGATCAATTGGAGTACTATTGAGCCAACCTCTTCCCAAAGACTTCCGTGCCTCGGTTGGTTTCCGAGAGGAAGCGGGGAAACCATAAAAGTCGGTCGATCATTTCAGGTTCGGTGGAAATGTAAGCATCTTGTGCTCCGACGTCCCAAGATTTCCTTTGCTAAACGAGGGATAGCTGAGGACTTCGCTATTCCTTGGCTATTTCCAAGAACACCCACCGGCGTTGGCATGTTGTAGCCATAAAATGGAGAGAGGACCACCTCCCAGAGAAATATCATGAAGCAACTCCAGCTTGTTGGGTTTGAACAGTGCCGCTATTTGAGTCGCGAACGACGGAACCAATGGCTACCACAAACCGTTTCATTGCTGTGATAGCAGCAGCAACGTGTCTGTTTAGTTGGCCCAACAACGTCGTTGGACAATCGGACCTGGGCTGGTATGCAGCAGAAATCGGTTTTCTGGCAGACTTGAAAAGCAGGGTTACAGGAACACCGAGCCACAATAAGCTCATCGACCATATTGAATGTGAGCTTTATATGCTCGGGCTACCGGTATACAGCGACTACTTGAATTTCACCTACAACGACCAGCCCTTAAGCCCACCAAGACTCAGCATTGGAGACGAGGAGGTTACAGTGTCTGCCTATGCGCCATACTCGGGTAACACAGGTCTTGACGGCATAGAAGGTGAGCTCGTCGACTTGACGGGCCCTCACGAGCCTCCAGAGTGGGAACTTGCAAGTGGCAAGATCGCCGTGGTCAATATTACGAATAACCCTGCAGATTGGCGCTTGTCTTTGCACGTATGGCCTGGACAACCGGAATGGTATATTCAAACTGGAGTTCCAACAACGACCGCGGATACCAAAATCGCCAATCTAACTAATGCAGGCGAAGCCGGTGTCAAAGGAGTCGTGTATGCATGGGAAAATATCACTCCTGGAAATCTGTATGGCCAATATACCCCGTTTAAGCGACTTTATCAGGGTTGTCCCACGGTGTACGTAGCCGGAGATGCATCGAAAGCGGCCATCGAAGGAGCCAAAAAGAACGCTAGAGCACATTTGACGTTGAGCGGGGAGCTGATCCCTAACACGACAACTCGCACTATTTACACAATTGTGGAAGGGACAAAGTTCAAAAATGAGTCCATCATCCTCAACACGCACACAGACGGGACCAACACGGTTGAAGAAAATGGCCACATAGCCCTGTTGGCCAAAGCAAAGCATTTATTGGCAAATCCACCCGAAAGGACAACGATCCTGGTCTTTGTCACAGGCCATATGCATCAACCCGCATTCAGCACCACAGGCCGTGCCACATCTCGCTGGATCAATGACAATCCTCAATACTGGCGAGGAGAAGATGGAGAAATGAAAGCTGTGGGGAGCACATGCGTTGAGCATCTCGGGGCGGCCCAGTGGGTAGAAGATCTTAGCACCAACAGCTACTACTCAGCTGGAAATCTCACTGATGAACTCCTATATGCCAACACACCCGAAATGCTAGCGCTGCTGGAGAAGTTCTGGAACGGAGCCTATCCAGGTTTCCTGCGGGTCAATGACCCGATCAAACAGGGCGTGCAGTTCGGCGAAGGCGAGCCACTGACCGACATTCACGTGCCAAACTTTTCCCTGATTACCGTTCCTCTGTATCTGACAGCAGAGATGCCAGGAGATTTCGATGAGAGACGGTTGGTTGATCTGCCAGCTCTGAAACGTCAGGTGGACAGCTTCTTGCAGATCTGGGACGTCATGGATAAGATGCCGCTGGGGACTTTTGGCGTCGTGCCAGCGATGGAAGAGTAGTACTATCTCAGTAGTACCCACTAGGGATAAGCGATGTCTATAAAGTTCGAGGGCATCGGCCACAAGACCAGGTGTGTCGCATCGCGAAGATTTCTTCCTTGTACACTCCTTATATTGAAAAGGATAAGGTCATAGTCATATATACCACTTGTCTTCTAACGCAGCCGTAGACATTGAGCCGTGATCATGATAATATTGTGCCAATACACCAACTGTAATATGTAGAGTAGCCTCTGCGGTTCACTATCTTGCCCGTCATGATCCATTGCTAATTATTGTCATGCTCACTGTCACTTTTAGACAGCGGTGGCCGAAAACTTCCCCGTGAAAAATAAGCTACAAGACAAAAAGTGCGGTTGTCTAGTTCTCCTGCGCTAATGACAGTCTGTCCTCGCCGAAGCATTCCAATCCAAGAACCCACAGCACACCTCCAACATCCGTCCTATACTTCAAAGTGGTAAAACCGGGGCGCTGAATTCACGGCATCATGATCCTTATTGGCTGGCTGGGGCTCGCAGCTCAACAAGGCCGCTGTTTCCGCCCGACCCGGAAGGAAACCAAGGGAGCTGGCTATATCACTGTTCTCCTCCTCGTCGCCTGTCACAACTCATTGGCTGAGCAACAACATCTCACCATTTTAATTCACCGATTCCGTACAGGAGGTATTTTCCGGCTCGTCTCGCTGCGAATGTGGCTTCACTTGACACTGTCACATGAACGATGCCACTTCGTGCAAGTGATGGGAGTTGGTTCTATAATTTCCATCAGTAACCCAGGTGTTGATGAACGAACCCGCAATACCGGAGTTGCAATGTCAACAGTGATAACTTTGTTGATTTGAAGAGTTGCCTTGGTCTTTGATCTTCTCCATGGCACTTTCCATCAGCCTTTCTCACAATGATCGTACGCAATTTACGCCTGGATCCATGGTTTTGGGCGTGGTGAAGCTCACAAACTATGAGGATCAAATTATTGACTCGTGTAAGATGGACTTTAGAGGTCAATCTAATGCATTTTTGAGCCAAAACTACAGCGATATCGGGTCCTCCAGAGCCGACGTGGTTTCCAAAACTTACCTGTTCAGTCGCCATTTGGACCTTTACAGTGGCGAAGGTCTTCATCATAAGGGAACCCACCTTTGGCCGTTTGCATTTCGGATTCCACTTTTCGCAGCCCCTAGGCTTGTGCCGCCGGGGTCCAAAGAGCTATTCTACCCTAAAAGTCGATGGAGAGGCGACTTTGTCGTGGAACGTCACAAGGCTCACCCTCTGCCACCGAGCATGCAAGAACGGGGGAAGTTCGCATGCAACGTGCGCTATACGCTAGAAGCGGTGCTTTCATACAGAGTATCCGGAGCTACAAAAGGTAAAAAGTTGCAAGCTTCTTACTCTATACCCGTGCAAAACTTGGAAATGTCTCCTCGTATCTCTGCTGGGGATGAGTGGATATATATGATTCATCGCCACACATTGAGCTGTGCGATTGTCGATTCTTCGCATCAGCACTTCCTCCGGCATTTGCGAATCTTCCCCTGGAAGGACAAACATCTTAAGCCTGAAGTGAAGCTATGCGTTTCTGTTCTTCTGCCAAAGGAGATCGTCATCAAAGAGCGGCAGACATTATCTGTCCCGGTGGCCTGCACAATGGAACAACCTTCAGAAGCAGACGGACCGAAGCCGCGAGTGGTGGAACAAGATCTGGACCTCGTTGTTCACTCCTTCAGCCTCTCCCTTTTCCGACATACAGAGGTCCGAGCAGGATGTCATCACAGCTCATCGGTCAGAAAGATTTTCATCCGAAAGGGGACATGCATAGTTCCTGTCTCGCGCACAAGCAGCTCAGACCCGAACGGAGCAGAGAATTCTCCAAATCCAATCGTCAACCTTAGCAATATTGTCGATCTGTCTATTCCGAGGCAGTCATTAGCCCCTGACTTCTCAACGTACAACATCGCACGTTTCCACACTATTGAAATGCGATTTTCTTTGATATATGGAGGGAAGAAGAACAAATTTGCCCTACGCAATGTCCCTATGAGAGTGATCCCACAGTCTGAAGGAGAGCTAGAGAGTCGACTTAACGAGGGCGTGGAACCGGACGATGAGTTTGGCTGTGATCTGGTCGGCATTCAATGGCGAGACTACAGAGGGACTGCTGGCGCCTCTGGATGTGATCCACTTGGGTTGGCTTCTGATTTTGATGACGACTTATGTCCGGCAATTCCACCACCTACGTACACTGTTTAGCTATTTTATGGGATAAGAACTGCCTCCATGCCACAATCTCAAATTTAATCCTTCAGAGGCCCAATCTGAATCTCGTCCGAAGAAAGTTTGAACACTGAGCGGTTCTAATAAGTACGGAGTGTCTATTTTTTGCAGCCCAAACTATGTAGTATCCACCTCCGTTCCCTCTTTCCAAACTATCCGTTGTCCGCCGAGGGGTCCTCCGGGATTCCGGACTGCATCTAGCACGTGTTGTGGGACGGAAAATCGAGATTCGTTACTGTCCATTAGGTGGTCAGGCCGAGTGCGAGACCCATGCTGAAAAACCGCGCTGGCTGTTTTGAGGGGAAACCCGTGTTTTCCGCCACTTCCGTCTTTGCCGCCAGACAAGACGCCATTGAGTTTCTGACCTCTTCACCCTATGAAATTCTGGCGCGGTAGAAAACGAAAGGAAGTAATTTTAAGCAACATGGCATCTAAAGAGCGGCTCAATCACAAGCCTACTGATTGCTGCACAATCTCACGTTGTCCTCTCCTTCTTTCGAGGCATGTAGTATGTCTTCCCACAAGCCAAAACCCTATGTTGACCGCGCAACTGCCCGTCATGATACCAGGTCCGACAGCCTAGAGGATAACGAGTCCAGGTTAGCAGTGCGCCAGGGGCTAGGTTTAGATGATAGCGACGAAGAACTGACGGAATTGGCGGTACCGTCTCCTGCTGCCAATGATGACGACCAACGTGACACATACGAAGAGGAGGAAGCAAAAGCAAGGCGGAGTTCATCCGTCCTGCAGCAAGACAACCAAGGCAACGGAGAGTTAACAGAGCTTGCTGTGCCTGCGCCAATTTCCCATCATAGCACGTCTGATGCAGAAGCGGAGGATACTCGTTTCCGTTACGAAGGACTGACAGAGAATCAGAATTCTTCTTCTTCTTCTTCTTCTTCTTCTTCTTCTTCTTCTTCTTCTTCAGCAGACCGTGTCGAAGAACAACCAATTCAACGATCGACCACCAGGTACTCCGTCTATGCAGAATTCTGTACCATCAGCTGGCTGGTGTTCTTCGCAATTCTAGGCACTTTGGCTCGACTCGGCGTACAAGCTATATCGACTTATCCGAATACACCCTTCCTGTCACCAGTCCTGTGGGCTAATCTAGGAGGCTCACTATTTCTCGGGTTTCTGTTGGAGGATCGGCGCTTGTTTCGCTACACCGTGGAAGCGAACGACGGTGAAAAACCCCTCACGTCTGAAATAGACAGGGTAAAGAAGACGTTGCCATTGTACATCGGGCTGGCGACTGGCTTCTGTGGCAGCTTTACATCGTTTTCATCCTTTATTACGGATGCATTCCTCGCGCTCTCAAACACCCTGGAGCCTCCGTCGGCGGCAGAGCCGTACCGTGTATCACAATCGCCCATCCACGCCCGGAATGGCGGGTTTTCTTTCATGGCAACGATCGGCATTCTCATAGTACAAACAGCTGTCAGTCTGGCATCCTTGAAGACTGGTGCTCACATTGCGGTAGCTGCCGAGCCCATCTTCCCTAGTTTACCAGCCACATTCCTCCACCGATTCCTCGACCCCTTAGCGATCCCGCTTGGATGGGGCTGTTGGCTAGGAGCTGCGTTTCTCACTATTTGGCCTCCGTCCGACGACTGGCGATATCGAGTAACGTTCGCTTTGGTGTTTGCCCCACCTGGTGCTATTCTGCGCTTTTACCTCTCGAAACACCTCAACGCTCGTATTCCGGCTTTTCCACTTGGCACATTCATCGCGAACATCTTCGGTACTATCATCGAAGGTATGTGCATGGATTTGCAACATTCGAGCATGGTCATGGCCAAGGTGACCGGCTCGAATTTGGCGGCTTGCGCGGCGTTGGAAGGTGTCATGTCCGGTTTTTGTGGTTGCACGACGACAGTAAGTACATGGGTGGCCGAATTGAACGGGCTGAGACGCAGACACGCATGGTTCTATGGCCTGGTCAGTGTGACGATTGCATTGGCCATTCAAGTGGTAATAATGGGTAGCATGATCTGGACGATAGGCTATGACCACCGCTGTGCGCAAAATTCACCTTGAGATTTCCAGGTGGCAATTTTTCAGGGAGGTAAAATAGAGTATAAAACGTGGATTTATAGAGTTAACTTCCCGGCCCGAGAGGTCGATGGATGGCGGCAAGATATTGATAGCGAGATGAACGAGGTCGTGCTATCCAGGGTTCAGGTGACCTCGTTGAATTCGAGGATACTAGAGTAGATTTCTTCAGTATCCGCTCGGGCTCGGTGGCGTCGCATTCGGATCTCCGTGGTGAGATCTGAACATCGATAGATTCTGTCGTGCGCGCTTTCATCCTCGGATTGGTCATAAGGTGGCTCGATATAGGGAAATTCAGGACAAGAATGAGGCACGGATGGGAAAGACAGGACCTGTGGTTCCATGTTGAGATGCTGCCTGAATTATAAATGAACGGTCCATTTCCGTTCGAACGACCGCTTTCTCCATTGCCGCTTCTGTGTGGCAAGTATAGCGTTCCAGCCTCCAGAGTGTGCCCTGGTATTTGCGGGCGACAAAGCGTCTGGTCTTGATACCCCGTTTCGGACCACGGACTGCCGCTTTACTGACGCATCATGTGACTTAGCTCAACTTCGGCTCAGCCTACTCAGGTAGCTGCTCACCCCTCCTCATCCTTCTCATCAGCCGTACTTAGTCCCGTTTCTAGGCCCCTCTATCATTAAATGCTCGCGCCATACTTCTTAGGTATCTCTCTTTAATGATATTTTATTCACTCTAGTGACCCTTTCTCGTAGTAGCCACCTATACGCCGTATACGTTACGTCTTTACCATAATCAATATATTTAAATTTCGTTGATGAATGCCAAGACGGAAAAGGTCACATGCCGACCGCTCAAGGGATAGTTGAGTGGGAGATATGTTGGGCTGTGGGAGAAACAGACCGTGGTCAGTCCTAGGCCGGTTACTGTGGCGGAGACGGATGCCTAAACGGAAACCGAGTCCTTGTGACAGTCGACGATGTGAAGTTATGGGGTTCGTCACACAAGCATACAAACTGATGTCGAGCAATAAAAGTGCTTGTACAATGTGCGCTGGTTTAGGCAATGGAATAGTGCTGCTTTAGGGATTTCTCTGGCGATCTACACCCAATGTTCCTGCAAAGGGGGTTGCCAAGGTCAACTAGGACAAATCTTACTTTAGGGGTTCTAACTTCCAAGTGCCCAAGTCAGATACCCATCTAAACTAAACGCAAAGGTGCGACTATCAATTGCCCGACTAACTAACTAACTTACACGGCAGCCTTACAACTCAGTTGATGCCGCTTTCGTTTGACTTATTACTTGCACCGATATTTTTTGGTTTTAAAAAAACACCCTCAAATCTCTCTCTCTCTCTCTCTCTCTCTCTCATCAAAACACCCCCATTGTTTGCAGCGTCGTCAAGAACTGGGAAACTTTGGATTGTCGCTCTTTGTCTGCCTAGGCTGCCCGTGCGGCCAACCGATCTTCCAACTGCATCCTCTGCTGCAATGGGCGACCAAGTTGAGGCTGGGAGCGGCAGACCGTCCATGCTGCTTCGCACACTGGCTCGCTTCCTACCATGGAAAAGGAGCCATGAAATCGTAAGTTCTCCATATCGAAAGATCTGGACATCCCAGCTGGCTCAAGGACTAAACAGAGTGATGTTCGCCAGGGCGAAACAACCCAGGAACAAGACGGCCGTGGCTCGACGGACAAGACGCTCCTCGACCTCCCCAACGAACTCGTCCTGATCATTGCAGGCTTTCTCGACCCGGCGTCTCGGGTGCTCTTCAGCCTCTCGTGTCATCGGTTTCGGGGTCTGCTCACCTCTCACCTCGACTTGACGCTTGATGGTGACCGGGACACCAAGTTTCGAATGTTACAGCTTCTCGAGCTCGACCATCCGGGCTTCCTCACTTGCCGCTATTGTGGTCTTTTGTATCGTTGGCGGACGAGGGCCTGCTTCCAGTACAGATGTCCACGTCACCACTCGTCCAAGGATGTCTACCTATCTTACTGTCAATACATTAGCGGGGCCGGGATTGAGTGTGTTGAAATGGGGCGAGGTGTGGTCGATTTGATTCTGCGAGCCTCCGAGCATGGCCCCGAATATGGTGTGCCTGTGTCTATCTTGAACATCAGCGGTATGGATTGGCAAGGCGTCCCACGAAGGAACGAGGGACGGCTGGTGGACGGTCAACTCATCTTGGCCAGTCACACGCGGGTGGAAATAGAACCAGGAGGAGAAATGACGACGATGAGAAGTCTCCTGGGCAGGAATGCATGCCTTCATCTACATTGTACCTACGGACCCGTTGATTTGACGTTGAAACCTCTCGAGCAAGTCGTCGCGAGTATGATAGCCGGCTCGGAAGTATCGCAAGTTTTCAAGTGTCCGTTCTGCGAAACCGACCACCAATTAGACATGCGAAAAGGCGACGGGGGTCGAACCACTATCGCCCTGAATGTTTGGAGGAACTACGGACGAAGATACCAGAACGGGCTGCCCAATGAGCAGATTTTTCATCGGGAACCTCAGTTGCGGCTTGATGCCAGGACACTCTCGCAAAGGGATCTTCGAGCGGTCTTTGAGTCGGACAAGGAACACAATCCAGATTTTGAGCCATATCAATCCCTAAATGCTATCTCATTTGCTCGGACAGAATCCCACCTCCTTAGCATTACGAAGCCATAGTATTACAGCTCTTGTCCCCGAATCTAGGCTATTTAAGCACGTCCGCCAAGGACTCTGAGGTCGAAGCATGGGAAAAAAGTGGCACACGACTTCTGATTCGTGATAGAAGAGCAGCGAGGTTGGGGCAGACTAGGCAACGACAAGAACCTATGGCAATGGTGAGTCAATGGTTGTGGGCTATTCAGAGGGTCAAACTTGCCTGGCAATGATAGTTGGGCTTGATTGGGCCTGTCTTGGTTTCACTCATTGAAGAGCTACTCGTCACCAGCACTGCGTAGAAGTGCAAGCCGTCGCTGGTGCGACCAGGAATCGGACCTGGTCGCCGCCGGGGTTTCCCCCAGCGGACCTACACCACAGTTAGCGAACTCGAGTGATGGTGCTCGTCACCGTGTAGGTATCGTCGGTATAGGCCAGAGCGTCCTCCTGCCTCCGTCTCTCGGCATCGAAGAAGCGCCGAAGCATCTCCTTGACCTCTAAAACATCAGTAGTCAGCTGGGACCGATTAACAGCGAGGAGAACCTCTTCCTGCACAGCTCCTCGCAGAGCATCACCCAGCAGACGAACGGACTCAGCATCTGGACTGACCTGAGGCACCACGTCCCGCTGAGTAGGATGAGGGCCTTCTTCCTCGGGGAAGAGAAAAGAAAAAATCCGGCCGACGAGGGGTATACGACGGACGCGGCCTACCAGCCTGTCGACCATAGCTGGTGCAAAGGGGGAGAGGAGTGTGGCAATAATGCCGCCTGCTGGCCACAGGTGCTGTGAAGCCATTGCTACAAACCCAAAATGTAGACTTTGGGGAGAAGAAAGGGAAAAGAATCGGGGAGACGAGAGAAAGGTTATAGTATTGCCGTCCACTGGTTCCTTCCCTAACAGCTCTTACATCGTGAGGCGAGGGAAGGTACGAGCAGACGTGACGCGCATACGTGTCACGACCTTCCTCCAGAGTAATCGCGAGGGCAGGTGCGAGACTGAATGAGAGTCGTTCCCGGCTTGAACAACCATTTAGGACTCGAGACGCAAGAGATGCATGTGGGTTGTGCGTGCGAAGCATCGATTGTCGAAATTGCCCTTGGAAACAGTGTAACGACCTCAACTTGTGAGTGCCTCCCTCGTGCCTCCCTCATGCCTCGAGAACGTGCGTCGATTCTTGGGCATAGCATGGCGCCCCGAATCTCGTTGTGAGCAACTCGAATGCGAACGATTTGGCAGCAAACCACCGCACTATTCATCACACATGAGCTTGTTCAAGTTTGCGATGACGCGAATCACAAGAACACGAACACGCACAAGTTTACATAACTATAGATGAACTATTTTCTGTTTACCACCACACACGGTTCTCGTTTTTCCAACCACTATCGCCCGTTGAAATTTGTGGGAATTTTTTCACGAGCAAAGTACGCGCATCGAACACCGAGATTCGTATTATTCTCGCGGGCTCCATCGACGGTTAATCGTTCCTCTGAAAGAGTGCTTTATACACGAGACATCACAACACGTTATACCAGAAGCCGTTCTGTTTTACTGCCGGGTCTGGTGGTTGACGCGCATAAGAAGCAGCATCCGAAATGATTAACAGGATCTCCTCCTCTCGATTCTATACTCAGATAAAATTAGAAAAACCAGACCTTCGAAGTAATCCACCCCCCCCCCCCCCCCACAGGCGCTCGCACCTCCCTCAGTTCAACCTCAAATGATCTGTACGGAAGAACCGCATGGTCGAAGTCATTCAAGCCCTGCCCTCACAGCTTCTCTACCAGGTCGGCAAACACAAGAGCAGCCTCGTCGTATTCCATGTCAATCCTTGTCTCTTATATGTTTGACAAAAGTATTCATAGCCCAGGAAAGCTGGCCTGGAGCTTTCTCCTCACGAAGGCTTTTCGGCACACTCATGACTTTGTGACCCCGGCATAGATTCTTCGACGCCAGTGTTGATCCTTGGCCTTCATCTTCTAGTAAGCATGCATCGCACAACCAGCACTCTTGGCAGGTCAAACACAGGTTCAAGGAATCTTCTCTTCTCGAGCTGATATCACAGCGGGTGCAAATTCTTTTGACAGTGTTCAAGATAATACTTCAGTGCAAAACGAGCATCCTCCAGCTGCCCATTGTACTTGAGGCAATTTGCACAGCGGAGAAAGTCGCTTGGAAGAGGCCATGAGTGTATCTAATCGACAATACCGACGAATCAGTGGAGGAAGCGCGCCGTCATTACAACCGTACTTCCACAGCCTCGTCAGCTTGTCTGGGCAAGTGGCGACATAGTCGAGGCAACTTTGCCCATATGCATCGATGAGATTGCCATTAGCTCCTTTTTCCAGTAGTAGAGACAAGAGCTGTTCATTATCCGTAGAAAATGCATGATGAACCAGCGTTCCCCCTTCTTCGTTAATGTGTTAGGGGATGCTCCAGAATCTACTAGAAAGAAGTGCATTTTCAGGAATCCAGGCTTTGGACTGTGGTTTCAACGCTATCAATTTGCAAAGTTGCTCGCAACAAAACTCCTTAAGGAAGTTAAGGGCTCCGAACTCTTGGAGGGCCTGTATGATACCTTCGTTGTCTGATGATGGAGCGATTTGCAATGGCTGAGAGCAGACACTGTAGTCGACCGAACAAGGTTGAGTCAGCTCGAAGACGGCTCGTTTCTCGCGATTGCAATCCAATTCCGTTGTCTGGTGCAAATTTGCGCCTACATCAAGAACCAACCGAGCGAAGTGGACATGCCCTTTATCATAGCCAACTCTAAGGGCGTTTCCCACCCCGGGTTGTCCCAATCAAGGTTCACGTTCTTCAGTATCAGCATCTTGGCCATCTCCACGTTTCCGCAGTATGCCGCTGCTTGCAGAGGTGTTCCGTGCCTGCAAGCAGAATAGCTCATCAAATTTTCGAGCTTGGCCAGGGTACTGCTTGCATGGTCTATACCTGCAATAATACAGCAGGATAGGGGATTTGCCGACCTGCCTCGCGTAAACCGATTCTTTGAGGATGGTTTGGGTACGCGACCCCAAAAGCACCAACGGTCCAATGTCCAGGCATTGCCCTGGAAGAAGTTCAACGATAGTCGAACTAGTCTTTCGGAGTGGAACTTAGGGGGTACGTTTCGAGCGTGCGAATTTCACTCTCTTCCTCCATACACCAACAGACTGTGGTTTTTAATCACGGATTTGTGAATGCTTGCCCTGCGTTTATCGTAGTCTGGAATGTCTAGCGATCGCATTTCCCGAAACACCGAGCGAATGTATATCAAGCAGCTTTCTGCGAGAAGTTTATGGGTATTATTCGAATCAAAGTGAAGGCCGTACGGGTTTCTGTCCGACAAGAGATATTCTTGGAGGGAGGAGTGGGCTATGCTCACACCTGTCTGACACTTCACCCTTCTCTGTAGAAGCTTCTTTGTGGTTAGCGAGACGAGGCTCGAGCCAGTAGTTAGTAGATCAAGAAGGTCACCCGGCCTGGCTTCCATCACAAGGCATTCGTTGCCTTCAAAGTCGGTGGCCAAGGTATCGACCAACTCATGCAAGCCCAACTTCCTGTCAGCAAAACAAAGCCACTGGAGCAATCTTAGAGTCATAATCAGGTCACCATCAGCCTCAAGACGCCGACCTCATCTCTCCATGTACGGAATCGTTGAACGTTAAAAGAGCCAGCGTGCCGTATTTATTACCGCTATTCCAGCGCTTTGTTATAGTTGGTTGTTGGATCGGGACATCGTAGCCATTCGTTGAGTTTAGCGGGCCAATTTTCCATCCCAAACTAACGTGGTTATCACTCTAGACTCTCTTGGGAAGGAGCAACCATGATACTGACCATCTGGCTGCCATTTCATCTGATGCTGAATTTCTTGAGAGAGTTTGCTCCGATATATTAGTACACAACTTGAGGAATTCAAAACAGTGAACTCACAAATGATCATGTTGCAATGCTATGCTAATTCTCGACTTCAAACGTTCAATCTGGACGAGAGCATGGTCTACCTGTTTGAAGGTAATCTTCCAAGTCAAGGCTTTCATCAAACTGCCTGAGCCAATCTTCGCGACGAGGTCTTCAACAACGGATCTCAACTGATCGAGGGCGCCGTCGTGGGTAGAGAGAAGCTTTATTTCATTGAACCACGGTTCGTCGGTTTTGCATTGATCAACCTCGCTTTATAGTTGAATTGATAGGGAATAAATTGTGACGGCCTCCCTGGCGACTTGTATTCTCTGTCGGGATGCTTTATGTACGCTGCTCGCATACTGCATGAGCTTACAGGTTAGGTCGAGGATACCGATGATACTGGCTGTCACGCTGAGAGGTTCCATTATGAGTCTGACAAGATTGATTAGTCGAATGAGAACGGTAAATAAGGTCTTGTGCCTCACCTCGTTGAGCGTGGAGAGTCCGAAAGTTCAGAAACGAGGCTGCAGGTAGAATGTGAGCATCATGCTATCAAGTTTCAGCCCAACGCAGGGCAGTTGGCGGCGCCAACAGAAACTCATGCTCTATGCGATCTATCTACCTAGTCAGCTGGTTCGCCAAACGTGCAAGAGCGATGCCTTGATCTGGGAAAGTGGAGGGACGTAACTGGACGTCTATTACTTTCTGCCTCTGGCACACACTTTTGTCTGAATTAGGAGCTATACCTAGGTAGTTACCTATTTTTATTAGTACCTTGCCCTTGAAACCACACATCAAGTTCAAGTAAATATGCAAACGAATCAGCAATTCGATTTGATTGCTAATCTGTAGTGCTTTGTCGTCCTTTCTGCCCTTGGAAGCTATGGGCCTTTTCCTCAGAGCTATGAAGACGTCGAAGCGTCAGGTTTGAGCGTATCCAGCGCCTCCATCTCATCAGTTCCCGGCCCTTCCTGACTGAAATACCGGAATGGAATTTTTATCCTGCACCGAATGACTGCTCCATGCTGGATGTGAAGATTCGATCACGTCGTATTCACATCGTGCTTGCGCTGTCTATAGCAGGCAAGTCCGAGTCGTCTTGGTTGATGCAGAGGGCAACTTTTCCTTGTGTTGGTTCATGATCGACGAGGCTGCAAGTCATGATGGCTCCGCGGCCGTAACCGCCTTCGCAGACTTGGTCAATATTTAAATTCACTAATCCCTCATTCACCGTCCAAAGCCAGGTGGTCCATATCCCCTTCCCTGCCCGGGCGGTCCGCCTTGGAACCCAGGAGGAGGCTGGAACCCAGGGGGTGGTCCTCCAGGGGGGCCTCCGAAACCAGGCGGCGGACCACCAAAGCCTGGTGGGGGTCCTCCAGCTGGCGGGCCGCCGGCACCACGTCCTGGAAATCCTGGCGGCGGAGCCCCTCCTGGGAAACCGCCTCCTGGTGGGAAACCAAACCCTCCTGGAGGTGGTGGTCCACCCACACCAGCTACTGGGCCGCCCAAACCAACTGGTAAGCCACGACCTGCTGGTCTCGAGATTCCTGTGCCGGCCTGCAGAGCGGTTGGTGCACCTCCCGGTGCAGATTGACCCAATCGTGATGAGGGATCTGATGGGGGTGGTCCTTCAACACTGCTCGATACAATATTCGTTCCTCGCAGAATAACCAGTCCCAATGTTCTCTTCTCTTCTGTCTCAACTGTGGCTGCTGCGGCGGATCCAGGTGCTGCGGGTGCGGAGGATTTATTCTGCTTACGCTTCACTTTGCGAAATTCTTCGGTGTCGGCGAGGACAAGATTCATGTGCTAGAGACACCATTAGAAGTCATACAAGCTTGGAGAACGGTTTCTGCTGACCTTATCAAATGCTAGCATCTGGCCGGTCATCTGCCTGCCATCGTTCAGCGTTACGCGCATGCGATAGTTGATCTAGACATGGTCAATCAGTTTACCATCCAGCTCAGGTCGGATTGTTCTCGGCGCATACCAGATTTTGCTGCGGTAGAGTTAGTGGCAGTCAATGTGTAAAAAGGACATCTCTCCTGGATTGCGAGCATACCATTTTCCCCTGCCTGTTCGCCATCTTGCCAACAACGCGCGCACGAATGCGACTTGGACAACTAGCGTGCTAGTGTTTTGAAGTTCAAAAATACAGGTACACTCGTGGTTCTCGGCCGCAGCCCAAACCTCGAGAGTCAGAGAGTGACTGCAACACTTCTAGGGAGAAGAGATAAATGCAGCAGGCCTGAGCTGACTGTCCTTGAAATTGATAGTGATCTAGCAAGGACTTTAAGTGAAGGACTGTCTCGCCGCCCCAGGCGTCGCCCCATGCTCGAAAAAGGCTTTCCCAAAACAGCCTAGTGCATCGGCGACTCTTGGCATAGTGCCAAGAATCATTCTCCCACACTTACGGAAATTCTCCCTGGCACAACCTCAATTAGTCCCTCTCGCTTTCGCTCTCTACACAACCTCGCGCTTGGAATTAAGCAAACTCTGTCGCAATCGTTAACACCACCATCTAAAAACCATCAAGATGGCGGAAGGCAACGACAAGAGCTCCAATGCCATGCGCGAGCTGCGTATTGACAAGCTCGTCTTGAACATCTCAGTCGGTGAATCTGGTGATCGTCTCACTCGTGCCGCCAAAGTGTTGGAACAACTGTCTGGTCAAACTCCCGTCTACAGTATGCTGCCACCAAGAGACCATCCGCCCTCGTCTTTGCCCTGCTAACAAACCTTCCCCTCTCAACAGGCAAGGCCCGCTACACCGTCCGATCCTTCGGCATCCGACGTAACGAAAAGATCGCCGTGCACGTCACGGTGCGAGGACCCAAGGCGGAGGAAATCCTCGAGCGAGGCCTCAAGGTCAAGGAATACGAACTGCGCCGCAAGAACTTCAGCGAGACCGGCAACTTCGGCTTCGGTATCTCCGAACACATCGACTTGGGCATCAAGTACGACCCTGCGATCGGTATCTATGGCATGGATTTCTACACCTGCATGAGCAGACCCGGTGCTAGAGTGGCCCGACGACGGAGAGCGAAGTCTTCCGTCGGTCGTTCCCACAAGGTCGGCCGTGACGACACCATCAAGTGGTTCAAGACGCGATTCGAGGGCATTGTCCGATAAATGGTTTTTTTTGCTTTGCTGCACGCACATTCATGGAGCGTGCGTGGGTGATGGATGATGCTGGGCATTTGTGGGGAAACCTCGCCTCGACAAAGAAAAAATATTACTTCTAGCAAAAGATAACACGGGGTTGGGTGGATTGGTGTCGAACTCAAGTCGACTTCCAGATCCAACCACTGACCACTCAAAAAAAGCAGCACTCGTCGATTTATCAGGTGCACTCTTTCTCGCCCTGTTACAAACAACTCGAGTCTCGCCTGGTACAGGGGCTCTATGTATCAAAGGCAATGTGATGCAAGCACAGCATCATTCTTGAAATGACAAAACAGATGAAAGCCATCATCCTTTCCTTCTCGTTCATCCCTTCATTTTTGTATTGTGTCCGACATGCCTGCCGCTGATGACAGTATATGTTTCAGCCAAAAATGTAATACTACCCACAATCAATAATCTCCTGCCTCTTTCGGAGTAGATTTGGCGGTCACCATTTAGAGGAAGACAGCAGAAAGGTAACGAATGCACGCTCGAGATCAATGTAGCACAAATGTCCCAAATAATTTGTGCTATGGAGAACAATGACTGTATCCGGATTGACGTGTTGTGATATATGCACAAAATATGTCTGTACGGCCTTTCTGTCTGCCCAAAGTCCATGGTGTTAGATTTAACACCCCACCCATAGCGCCACGCTTTCTCACTTTCAAAAAGATCCAGGAAATCCACATCGTACTTTCGTTCATCGTAGGGTTGAGGAGCTCATGTTGGTATCTCGCCACGAATTCAGCTTGGGTTTGTTTGTGACCCAGCAACATGTGCTAGAAGCACTGATCCAATGCCCTCTTCCACTGGTCTTATCTGCTCGTAAACTTTTGGGAAAGGTATATTCTTCTTTACTTGTACATTGTGTAGGCAGTCACACAGATTGTATCAGCGCTGCCCGGTGGAGGTGTGACTCTGGCTCGCTGGGTTCGTATTATCGACCACCGGACTGATAGGCGTATTCGGGGCTGTGGCATCTGACACGCTGATGCTGGGGAGATTCAGTTGGGGCAATTGAGGTGCACCACTACTAGGGACACGATTCAGCGCGCCGGCGGCACGGCTGGCGTTGCTGGCAGCGCGACGGGCCACGGCGACCTCGTAAGATGGTGCATCGCCCCATTCCAGGAACTCGTAGTCAGGAGGGCGATTGGCCTCGTCTAACTCGGCGTGGGGAATTCGAGATTCGCCAATGTCTTCAGAACCCGTGCTTTCGTCGGGAGTGAATCTGTTGGCCGTGGGGGATGAGTTACTGGTTCCGCTATCCGGACCGCCGCTCATAGAGGTTTGAGGTCTAGATCCGCCGCCTGGTTGTGTCGAGACTGGTGTTGCCTGTGCCATGTGCTCTAGGTCTGACCCCGCACTCGATATGCTCATATCACTGATAGATGCCTCTCGTGTATGGGGTCGTGATAGATGTGTAAAGGATGTGGCATCGGAGCCAAGACGAGGTCGGCCTCCTTCTTCGCCCATAGGTGCCGCTCCGCTGAGGAGACCGCCCCGTTCAGAATCATTACTGTTGGCTCGGAGTCTGGTGCCGTCATGTCGTACTTCTCCAAGAGAGCCGTATGCAACACTAGACACTCTCCTTTCTCGTCCTCTAGACTGATGTTCGGCGATGAGGGTAGCGGCTGAAACGCTGACACCGCCATTTAACGAGGTAGCACTCTCGCCAGCTCGTTGACGAGATTCTCTTCTTAGTTCTTCTAATCTCGCAGTGTCTCCTCGGTCACGAGCTTCTCTCCGCTCGCGTCTTCTTTCTTCTCGTTCCGCGATCTCTCGACGTCGGGCAAGCCGAATCTGATATAGAGACTCCATTTGATCTTCTCGGCGGGTTTCTTCTGCTTCTTGAGTCTCTGGAAACTCGACCACGGTGTCCATGCCGCCCCTTTCACCCTCCCGGCCAATGACTTGCTCAGTGTCTTTCGGAGCTCGGGAATAAGCGGGTAAGGTGATTGTACTTCTCACACTCGCATTTCGATCAATGGTGGCCCCGGCTGTCTCACCGCCACGATTGTAGGAAGTGTTTGCGGATAAATCTCGATTTCGGACTTGGGAGTACTTGCCTCCAGGCTGCCAGGTCTGCCATTTCCTTTTCAGGAACTGGGATGGAATATACTTTGGACTTTTACCCTGGGTTCTCCATCTCCGAAGGAACGAATAGAAGACCACGGAGCCCGTGATGACCACAATAACAACTGATATGATCTGTTGGAATTAGAAAAGGACTACTAGAGACTGCGAATGACGACTTACAGCGATAGTAACAGCGCTGCCGCCAAAACTGGAGGAGCCTCCTTGCTGTCGTCTTTGCAGCTGAGATACAGAGTAGTAGTGTGTGGGCTTGCCGCGCCCAATAATGGCCGGAGTGACTGCCATGACTTGTCTGAAAATGTGCGGCGTCCTTACTACGAGGACATTTGAGGAATTCGCCAGGGGGAGGAGACGAATTAGTTGAGTTGAGCGAATAAAGGCGCCGCCCTCGAAGACTAGGTAGGAGCTTTTAGGTAGAGAATTTCTCGGTGGTGATGAGTGGTGGTGGTGATGGCGAGACAATACTTTGTGGGTTTCTGAGACCGCTATGTACAACAGATTGCCAGATGGCTGATATAATTGATTAAATGGAAGTGAGTGCAGCTATGTAGGACGCCTTTGTGGAGGGTGGCCTGGCTGAGAATCGGATCTTAAGGCTTACGGGAGTAACGAAGTGTCGTGGATGTTCGCTGCGCTGAGCTGGGCTGCGGACGTCAGCCCCCAGAGCCCAGAGCCTAGAGCGTGAGCCACTCGGAATGTGGGCGAGGGCCTAGGAACGAGGAGCGGGAGCGGGTGACAGACGCCAGCTCCCAACGCTGGCTCGTGCAAGGCATCAACCAAAAACTTGCTGAGACACGAACCAGGGTCTTTTTGCTGGCTGATCGGGTAATCAGTGCCCTTCTCATTTAGCCGCTGGGCTGTGGTTGGGCATTGCCTGGATGGGCAGACAGCTTTCTCAAATATGCTGTGTGGAAGAGGCCCATGCAATCTTGCAGAAAACATGCCGATATGGCAATAGTGTATATGAAGTATGTATGTAGTGATGATGCCACCCATCACGGAGCCACCTGGTGTGTCCATTGCCGTCCTGGGGGTGGACGAGAAGCCCATATGGTATTCGGTAAATTGTAGATTCAAGCAGAGAGTGTCCGTGCCTGATCTATGACGTCATCGCCAGAAGTGGCTCGTCTTTGCGATTGTACATACAGAGCACAGGCAGAGGTATGTGTGTAACAGGTCGCATTCTTCTCTAACATCGGATGCATGTTCTGTTCAATGCAGGCGTGTCCAGATTGGTGAGTGGCCACCGGGCGAAACCTCACAAACATTGGCTTTGGCGGTGGGCGGCAACGAGCGCAAGGCTTACGCCAGCTTCTTGACCATCAGTGCGAGTCTCCACGCCCTGCCGCCAAACGAAGCGCCTATTTGTTCATGCTGCATGTAGGGCGCTCTTTTTATAGGTTGGTGCATAAGTGTATCTTCTGGCGCAGTTGGACCACTCAATGTAGGGAGTACCCACCTAGGTCATCACATGTTGTAGGCGATGTTTCCAAGATAAATTCAAGACTGGCAGAATAAAAGCAATGATGCCTGGGAAGCCTGGTTCACTATGTACTGTCTGCTTCGAGGCGCCCAAGATACCAAATCGCAGGGGTTGAGAAAACCTTCACGTGATCTGGTGTGGTGCCTGCCAAGATGCCGCGGATTATCTTCAAATTCCGTTCCGCGCTCCTGCTCAATGGTCTCCGCGCTAACCAATTTCAGCCGTCCATAATAAACATTTCTCGACACTCGCTGTTGCAGCTGACTTCGTGGATTGTTTCCCACACTCATTGATCGCCCAGTATTCTGTAGGTGACATCGTACTCGACACCATGGCCCCCTCAAGATTTGACAGTGGCACGGGGGGAACAAACTACTCCAGCATTCATTCCGCCGACGCCTTCGTTGGCACTTATCAAGTAAAACACCCGTATGCTGTTGGTCTGTTATCTGGCTAACCATTTCCCAAGGTCATGTATACACCGGGTTCAACATCTCCGCATTCCGATCGTGCTCATAAGAAGTCCACTCGCTTTAGCAAAGCAGCATCAATCAGATCTCACAATCAAAGCCAGTCGTTCATCCTTCCCGCCAATATTCCCAATACATCCCAAATTGTTGCAGACCAAGGCTCCTTGCCAGATGTTCAGGTCCACTACTCCATTCCCGCCGATGAGAAACAGATAGTAGCATCTCTTCGTACTCTTCAACGCGACCTCAACGAAGCCATACAGACCATCAATTCGCTGACACGGGAACGCGACGAGGCACTGCTAGAACTTAGGTTGCTTAGAGCAGCCTCTGTAAAAGAAACGACTCGGACCAAGAAGACGACTCGTATCTCTTCTCATCAACAGGAAGAGGAACTGTTCGATCTGAGTCGGTCGATAGAAACCCCTCAGAGATCCCCGGCAAGGAAGGTGTCGAGCAAGCGCTTTGGCGCAGATACCAAGCAGGCCGGTAAGACAACAATCTCAGACGATGCACGGGTATTGTCACCAGTCGAAATCAATGGACCCCTTTCTCCGACTCCTGACAAACGCTGGACCAGTGGAACTACGGGCAATAGTCCAAACAAGTCTCAAGCACACAAGAAGCCCACGGTCAACGATACAGAAAACAGTGTAGTAGAAGACCCAACTGCAGCTTCTAACACGTCCAGACGCCGCCGACATTTGGATCTGGACGAGAACATGACCTCTGCATACATTCTCCCAGATATCACTGTTAGCCAAAGTCAAGCACAGGGTATTTCTAAGGGCGCCCAGACTGTTCTACATCGCCATGACCCTGAACACGTCCAAAACTGTGAAGTCTGTCTGCGCCTCACTGGGTCTAAAAAGACTAAACACGTCACACATGCCAGTCGCAAATCAACCCACATTAACACAACCTCAGGCAGACAGGCATCCAAGTCAGCAAAGGAACAAGATTTCACCGTCCAAATCACGCAGTTGATGAAATCTGCAATGCTTGATGACCCTACGATCCGCCCGAAGATCTCCCCTTGGCATGCTCTGGCTAACGTCAAGAAGCTGTTAACCGATCAATTCGAGGAGGCAAAGCGGAAGCACGGCATCGCGTGGGAGACATACGACGGAATTGAAGCCCCTCTTAGCAGCAAGAGACACGCTGCCATCAGCGAAGAACTATTCTATTGGTCGAGAAAGATGGAAGAGTGCAGAGTCAATCTAGACCAATTGAGAGACGTCGAGGAGGGCATGAGAGGAGAAGATGAGAATTGAAGTAACATTGCCTCGAGATCATGCAGGCCACCTGGAGATTTTCTGGTCGGCTTCAATTATCGTGAAGTTGAAAGTGTCAAACAAAAGTTGTTCCTGGAGGGTGCAGCACGAATTATGGTTTCGTCTTTGATGGTGGCGTCGTTTAGTTTCCTGGAATTCGATATGGGAGATTGTATTGCGTAGGGTGTTGATTCTCGGTCTGCGGGCTCATACTCAGGCAGGTTTGATGAACAGATGTCTCCCTCAAGGTGCTCCATGCCAGCAGATGTGGACGTACGCATAACAATCCAGCCTGTATGGTTTTCTATTAGCGTTGGAGTTCCGAGCAGGAATGAATTTCAATGGTTCTATCACACTTCATCATATTGAATTAACTGCCGTAAATTCCTGAGTAGAACTCGGAATGTCGACTATGATGGCGTGGATTGTGGCACTCGTGTGCAGTAAGGAGTGCGGTGTTTTGCGAAAGCGGGGCTGTCAAGACCAGGAACTATGAGACTTATTTTTATTCCATCTCTCGGCCAGAAGAACCCTTCGGATAATTCGATGACGGGAGAACACGCACTCCACCGGCTACGATTTGCGAGACCTAGGTTCCAATTATTTGGCTCATTCATTTCCAATCGAAATAATCTTCTGGCTGCAACTTGTGTCGTGTTCAGGATCTGGGAGAATGAGCATCTCGTTCCACGGGTCCGCTGCCGACGTGCGCGCGATGGAAGATCCCACGCCCACCACCCTCTACACTGGGGACGCGACAGACACGCTGGTGCTCCATGCGGGCCGGCTACATGCAACAACACAGACCCGGAGGGAGGCGACTCGTTAGAATATCTATGGATTCGAAAAATGTATGATATGTCTTGGGAAGAATAGTGCATTCACCTTGCTTTTGGATTTGGAATGCACCGCCACGACACCAACTCTCCCAGTCTCTCTGATAATGTTCCAGTTTAGAGAATCGTCCTGCAGCTAGCTAGAGCAGAATGGAGAATCACGCGTCGTTGCTTGTCTAGGATGCTATGGCGCACCTAGACAAGCGGACAGGGAGCTGGGTGGGAAAAGACCTGTTCGGCTAGGATGTGTGGAGTAAGGCATCAAGTCCGTCGCGTCGATTTCGTCTCTTCTTTCAACAGCAACAAACTACGAGACGATCTCCTCCGTCTCTTCGATGACCTCCTCGACGACTTCCTCAACGACCTTCTCGCCCTCGGCGTCGCCGACGCTGCGTGTGCGCTGTAATTTGAGTTCTTCGTCAGGGTCCGGTAGGCCGAGTTCCTCGCGTTCCTCCTTCAGGCGCTCCTTCTCCTCGCGCACCCAGCTGTACCATTCCTGGTAGAGGCGGCGGCGGGCCTCGATGACCGCGGCGTTAGCGCCTTCCTCGAGCTCCTTGTCCAGCTCGTCGAACTCCTTGCTGTACTCGCGCAGGTTGCGTCGGACAGTCCGTTGTTCTTCTTTGCTGAGCACGGTGGCTGGTCGCGGCCGCCAGAGGAGTTGCTTGAATTTCTCGATGGGGTTTTCCGAGAGGAGTTGCCCGTAGAATGTCCAGAGCCTGAAGCCGTTTTCCATCTTGATTTCTGGTCAGCATTTTGTACTCATGAGCAGCCAAGAATATCATGAATGGAGGAACATACCTGATGCGTCCATACACTAGCACTAGTAGTAACATATCGTCCAGTGGGGTCCCAATCTACGTCGGTCATGCCATAGTGATCTTCGGTATTCATGAGCATCAGATTTGCAGCTAGGGCGGCATCGCTTTCTGGCTTGTCACCCTCGTAGTCTAGATCATAGAAGTCGATATCTGAGTGCTGCTGTACGCTCACAGTTGCAACTACCACAAATCGACCACGCGGCGACCAGTAAATGCCGTTGCTGTTCTTCTTGTCAAAAGTTCGGACATGTTTGAATGCACCAGTACCTGCACCTTTGACTTTCTCGGGTGCAAAGAAGGAGACTGCCGTCTTGGGTAGAACATTGCTGCCTGCAACCGCTTCACCAGTCGTAATGAGCACGAATCGGTCACCTTTGGGTTCCCAGGCGAAGTTGATGACTGTGTCTTTGAGACTGTCGACGACTTCGACGGGGACACCCTTCTCTTTGATGCGAAAGATTTCTAGATTTGTTGCCAGCGACTTCTTGGACTTTGAATGCCTATCGACCTTGACACAGATAAATTTGGCCTCGGATTGCCAGTGCAGCTTTGCATCTGTGACGTTGAAAAGATTTCGGGTCCTCACAACCTCTTTCGTAGGGAATGACATCAAGGTCACTTTGGCGGGATTTGAACCAATCTCGGGAGTCCAGAAGCAGAGAAGCTGTTCGTATGTCTTGACACCCTCACGCTGAGTGGTGGCTGGGGCCCATTCAAAGTCCACCAATCCGTCGACTTTGACGGATGTCTTGTCGAGTAGGTTCATCCGGGGTGTTTCGTAGACAGAGATACTCTCACCAGGTTTCATTCTTGCGACGTATTTCTCATCGGCGGACCATTTGAAGGCAGGCCATTGGACTTTCGCCTTAGGAGGGACCACTCCACCATCTGAACCGGCAGCGGGAGCGAGATCGTGGGCGACAAAAGATCGAAGGGGTTTGCCGGTCTCAATATCCCAAATGACAATGTGCTTTCCTTCCTCGTCAATAGTGAGAGGACCTTTTCCTTCCTCCACAACGATAGGTTGATTAGACCACGTTGTCAAGAACTTCTCACCTGGGGAGAATTCAATCAGACTGACAAAAGGATGAGGGAATTGCTTGATTCTCTTAAAAGAAGCTCCGCCCCATAACTGAACTCCCTGCTGATGAACTGATGCCAAATATGTCCCTAGTGGTGACCAGGATACGAATAGCTGTGTCCAGTGTTTGCGGTCGACAATAGGTTCGGGGTTATCTCTCTTATTGTTCCAAAATACGCCGACGTTGTCTCCTCGGAACATAGCGAATTGATCGCGGGCACCGGGGTCAAACAGCCATGATCGAAGGTGTTCTTTGTCGGCGAAAGGTTCGATCTCTGGAGGAACATACTGTTCGTCTATTCTTCCTTCTCGTCCATACTTCTCAATATCAGTGAGTTTGTTGACGGCAAGGGTGTGCTTCTTGTCAAGGGCAGTTCCATGGAGCTGTTTTGTAGCGGCAACTGCTTGCTCGGGGGTTTGATATTCGACGAAGGCAAAGCTGAATATGACTTAGAGAGGCATAAAACGTAAGGGGAGGGATGAGTATACCCTTCAGAATTGCCTGCGTCACTCATAGGCATAAAAATGGACTCTTCGCCATCCTTTATTCTGCCGACGGTGTTTAGTCTTTTCAGGAGGAATTTGACGAGTTTTGGCTTTTGATCTTGATTGACGATTGGGAGGCCATCGATAACCTGTGGCTATCAGCAAAACTTTATGAGATTCTCAAGGGCATCGACATACCACAAAGGTATCCAGGCCTTCTTCCATGCGCACATCATAGCGTTCCTTCAAGTCGCTAAAGTCGATATTATCTTCCTCATCTTGGTAATCATGGTCGGAAAGTTGATCAAAGCCGGGCGCCATGATTGCGGCTATAGGTGTTCCGAACAGTTGACAGTGGGGTATTGATCTGTAAGTTCGAAAGCGACGTTGAAGGCTGTCGGGCTGGCCTCGAGAAATTCCAGTGATACAACTTTGGTGGCGGAGTGCGCAGTTTGCAGTGCGGGTGCAAGTTGTGGTTGCCAAGAGGCTCAGCACGAGTCAAATGCAAGGGTCACGTGACTATAAATGACTGAGAACAGCCGGATCACATGGTCACAAATTTCCACATCTCGGTAAACCTGCTACTTATAGTATCATCACTAGTCCTACTAGGAGCCGTTGGCTTTCCCCAAGAATCGAAAAGCAACAAGCGAGCGCATCGCAGGCTCGCAGCGCACCGCGTATCCCATCCCGCTTCGGCTTCACACCTGCGGATTTCCCCAAGCCACCTGAATTCCTCTGCCTCTGCTCTTGTCGCATGCACGTCCCCTTCAGTTCTCCCTCATAATCTGTCCTCTTAGTAGATCCATTGGCTTCTTGCAGAGCCTGTACAACTCTCCACACCCACTAAATCCAGCTCACATTGGCCTCTCAACCGCCCGGTCGGCCATCAGTGCCCTTGATGCATTGTATGGCCCGCCTGTTGATCCTCACCTGATCACTTTTCAATTCTTCCAGCCATCCAGCCTTTCAGCGCAACATTGCATATCTTCAACTCAGCGCAACCTCGGGCCCAGTCTGCCCGACATGTCACGTACGTGCTCTTTCCCCAGTCGCTGCTGGTTGACCAACTATATACCAGTTCCCTCTGAAATCCGCGCAAAGTACGTCAGCATTATCGACTCAATTCTCGAGAATGCCGATCTTACAACAATTACGAGAAAGAGTATCTTGAAAGGTATTCAAGATCGCATCGAATATGACATAACCCCGCAGAAGGTAATATATTCCGAAAGACACCTTTGTTTATACTCATGTTTACTCGCTTTATAGGCCGCTATCAAGGACTTGATCGGCGAGCGATTCGACATCATCAACGCTAAGAGCAACGGCGATGGCGACATGGACACGTCTGTGGTGCCTTCGGTCGAGCCCGCAGACCCGCTTCCCAAGACCAACGGTGTTCATCACGCCCAACCCTCGGTCTCGAGTTCACCCGCTAAGCGTGAGGCTGGGAGTGAGGATCTCTCAGATGTTGTTGACACAGTCCCGCCCAAAAAGAAGCGCAAGGCAAGCGTTGATGCAGATGCGGCCCTTGCGGCCAAGCTACAAGCGGAGGAAGAAAGGTTGGCCCGACCTACTCGAGGCGGTGCAAGTCGAAAGGTAGCACCAGTCAAGAAGAGAAAAAAGGCCAAGAAACCGCGAGTGACCGGGTCAGACGACTCGGACTTGGACGAAGGTGGCAACAGGTCTGAGAAGCCGAGGAGAAATACAGGATTCCATGTAAGCCAATTTCGTGCTGGGGCCAGGGAGTTTGACTAAGGATTACTAGAAACCACTGAATTTATCTCCAGCTCTATCCAATCTTTTTGACGGCGAAACGCAGGTCAGTTGGTCGGATTAGTGGTTAAACACAAATACTGACCTGGAAAATAGTTATCTCGACCTCAAACGACTCAAAGGATATGGAAACATATCAAAGCAAATGGACTTCAAGATCCCAACGATAAGCGCTACATTATCTGCGATGACAAGATGCGCGAAGTGTTTCGGCAAGACAAGGTTCATATGTTTACCATGACCAAGCTCATCTCCCAGCAAATGTACAATCCTGACGAATGATGATATCCGAATGAGAGAGTTAGGAAGAGCATATTGGCGCAGGAAATCTTGATTAGAGCCGTTTGGTGCCCAGTGGTAGCCTCGACGCATTTGGCGTCGAACTGGCGTATTCCAGATATTGCTGTGATGAGTTTCATCTACAGATTGGAACTTGACCTGGGTTGAAGAAGGAGGGACATACTATCCGCAGAGATTCTAGGACCCATCAAACGATGATGCCAGTAGTACTAGTGGTGTAGTGACGGAGTGGCAGGCTGTGTCTCAGGAGGGACAGCCTTGCCGGGACAGCCTTGCTGACTAACGCCTAATGGAAATTGGTGCTTCCTCCAGATACCGTTTAGAGAAGCAGCACAGTGACTCATGGCAAAGTGGCTTCCATCGAACACAGCCTCGTTATATCAAATGACATAAGATGCTCTACGGAGTACAGGAGCCATGTTCTGAGCCCACTGAGTTTCCTATTCTTGAATACTCGAGTCTTACAAATTGCAAGCAGTGAGGAGGACCCCCACTACTTAACTAGAGCCCTGGCAATTTCCCTGGTGAAGTCATTGCTACTAATTTCTCGCCCACCACCACGACTTCTACTACCAACAACACCACACCACCACACCACCCGGGCAGTCCTGCATTCCCCCTCTCACAACAGCAGCTCTCCACTGTTCCGTCGACTCCTCCTATCTACATATATACCATGGCCGACTCTCCTGCCACTGCGACTGCTAACACAGCCAACACGCCCACAACCCCCCGCGGCGGACAGCCAGGTCGTGGCCGCTCAAACAGAAACCGAAGCGGCTCCCAGAATTCTCCCGAAAGCAACAGACAGGACACTGGAGCTAAAGCATCCCGTGGTCAAAGAGGCGGCAGAGGACGAGGGCGGGGGCGGGGTCAACCGAGAGACCCTGCTGCCTCTGCAAGAACAATTCCCGTTCAAGCATCTACCGACGGTAGCTCTGGAAGGACACCTGGAGGCGGCTTCGGTGCTCGCCTGACCGAAGCTGCCTCAAAACCTGAAGGCGAATCAAAAGCCCCTCAATTGCAAGGAGAAGGACAAGGAGCTGACGCAGCTGCCGAGGAAGTGGAAATCTGCTTCATCTGTGCCAGTCCTATTGAGCATGTCTCAATTGCTCCTTGCAACCACCAAACCTGTCATATCTGTTCGCTAAGATTGAGGGCTTTGTACAAGACTCGCGCTTGTGCACATTGCAGAGTAAGTCTTGCTTCAGCGCATTTCACCTATATATAATTTACACAAAGTCCAGACAGAGTCTCCGTTTGTAATATTTACCGACAATGCTGAGAAACGATTCCAAGATTTCAACGACTCCGAATTTGTCAAAATTGACGAGAACTTGGGAATCAAATATGAGAAGGACATCATCCTTGAAGACACGATTCTCCTTTTGAGGTACAATTGTCCCGACAGAGACTGTGACGTTGCTTGTCTTGGATGGCCTGACTTGCATCGCCACGTGAAATCCAAACATGGCAAGGTCATGTGTGATCTTTGCACCAGGAATAAGAAGGTCTTCACCCATGAACACGAATTATTCACCTTCGGCGAGTTACGGAGACACGAGAAACATGGTGACGATGACCCGGGTGCAATTGATCAATCAGGCTTCAAAGGTCACCCCGAATGCGAATTTTGCAAGCAAAGATTTTATGGCGACGACGAACTCTATAATCACTGTCGGGAGAAGCATGAGAGATGTCATATCTGTGACAGGAGGAATGGTGGACGTAATCCGCAATATTACCTCAATTATCAAGAACTCGAAAAGCACTTCGCTCAGGCCCATTTCGTCTGCTTGGACGCCGAATGTCAAGCAAACAAGACGAACGTCTTCGAATCCGAGATGGATCTGAAAGCACATCAACTTTCAGAACACCCCAATGGGCTATCGAAAGATGCTAGGAGAGATGCAAGGCTGGTCAATCTATCGGGCTTTGACTTGAGGACACCCTACCAGCCAGAACCTCGTGGTGGGAGACGAGATCGGGGGACTGGGAGGGGACGTGATCCTAATGCTGAACCTTTGCCCATGTCAACTGCTCAAAATCTCAGTCGGGCTGAGCTCGCTTACCAAAGACAAATGGCCATTCAAAGCGCCCAATCCGTATCTAGCAGGAACTTTGGGGGTCAGCTCACACAATCTAATCCCGCTCCACGGCCACAACCAGCGCCTTCTCAGCAATCGCAACAACTACCACCAGTCGAGAACGTCTCACTTGAGGCAGCAGCCATAGCCCCTGCAAATTTAACACCACAAGAACAAGCGCGAGCTGTTCGGCACCAAGCTGTCACCTCACGAGCAACGTCTTTACTAAACAATGACAAGACCAAGCTCTCTCAGTTTCGAACTCACGTCTCTGCGTACCGAAGTGGGACAATCTCGGCCAACGACTTGATCGATGGGGTATTCTCTCTCTTTGATAGCCCAAGCACCGAATTAGGCAAGCTCGTCCGTGAGCTAGCTGACCTGTATGAGGACGAGACGAAACGGCAATCTCTTCTTGGAGCCTGGAACAGTTGGCGCAGTATCAATGAAGATTATCCTAGCCTCCCTGGCCCAAGTGGCACGTTGCCCGGAGTCACTGGTGGTGGTGCAAGCGGGTCAGGTGGTCGCCGAGTACTGACATTGAAGAAAAGCACAGCTCAATCATCACGGTCTGCAGTGTCTCGACAGGGCTCGTGGGGCAATGCTCTCGCAAGCGGTACAAGTCGCGATCCATTCCCTGCTCTGGGCGCTGCCAATGGTGGTTCACGGAAGGGACCAGCAGCAGCTCCTTGGAGCATGACATCAGCACCAACTGTAACATCCACCAGTATCAGTTCTTCCAGGCCTAGCACAACAGCACCGACTTCTAATCGTATTGCTGCGCGCCAGCCACCGCTGAGACAATCCGCAGACAACTTTCCCTCTCTTCCCGCTGCAGCTAAGCCAAATACAATGATGGCAGGATTCAATACACGTGGTTCAGTCCGTTGGTTGGGCTCAAGCAGAAATTCCCCTTCCGGATCAGGGACCAGCACACCCGCACAAACGCCCTGGGGCAATGGCGGTTTGACACCGACACCAGCTCAAGCAGCCGCAGCGGTAGCGAGTGTTGTTGGGGGTGGAAGTGCTGTGACTATGGACCAAGGAGGTGAAAGCGGAGTTCTGAAGAAGAAAGGAAAGAAGGCGAAGAAGGGCGAAACGCTATTTCACTTTGGATGAAGAGTTCCTGTATCATCTCAAAACAGCGAGGCGAATTGACGCAATTTACCCCATCAACATGACCCATGGGATCTGATGTCACCCCTTCCTTAGTTAATGGCTGTTGAAATCACTGACTAGGTAGATAGCAATTCGATCAGTGTATCTACATGATGCAAGACAAGAATCACTTTGCATTCCCACACGATGAATTTCTCGAGACACATTTCGCTCTATCCCTTCGTTTCCCCAAGTGAGTCATGCCAGGGCTCCCACCACCAAAATTTCCCGATGGTCCTCTTCCCTATAAATGTGGGCTGCTGCCCTGTTCTTCTTCTCACAGTTCGAATTCTATCTGCATCTTCTCGCATTAGACATCTCGATCAGTTCAAGGCCTTCCGCTCCCTCTGCCACTCTCTTTCCTATATATATCGGCTACTTTCCTCCCGTTCTGCCGTTCTTGTCATCGTTCGACATCTGAGTGCATCATCCTCCTGCATCGAGCATCTCAATCCGTCCAACATTCTTCCACTTCCACTTGACACGTCTCTCACAGACGAAGACTGCTTCCCCTTTCTCCTCATTCCGACGTCTCGCTGCATCCCTTTAAATGCATTCGCTTGTACTGAAAACCTCAAGGAGGACAATCCGGCTCGCAGAGAAATATTTGTTGGCGCGCAAATTGCAGAAAACTACTTGGACTTTCACCTCAACTGATCTTGTCCTTTGAACTTGCGCCTTGTCAACGATACTCATCCTTGTTCCTTACCCTTGACATGTACACCATTACGGTGTACATATGGTCACGAGAATGTTCTTACCAAACCAAATCAATCCTTCCGGGCATCAAAGATCACTGGGATGGTTACGAACCTCATCAGCAATACCGGCTTACCCACCCTGTGGAATTCTAAAGGCTCCAGAAACACACAGTGCCATTGAATCAGATACATCATGGACTCCAGCTTCACGTTCTAACACGTTGGCAATGTTGGCTTAGCCCATTTCGAGAGAAGACTCAGACGAGCAATGCGCGTTCACCTACAGAATGGAAGATGGACAAACCAGCCCGTTTGGTTTCCATGCTTGCTACCGCATCGTAAAATACCGCCACCATGGACACACCTCTAGTATAGTACAGCTACACAACGGCGCGGTCGCGACGGTGAAGATACTACTGGTCTCATTCAAGGAAGCTCTCCTGACTAAGCTCGCTACAAAGCAGGCTTGGCTTTAAGGAAGCCCTGAGATCAATGCTTACATTGATTCCTCCAACTTCCCAGTTCGACCGGGGTGACGCCGAACTGTCCCTTCTACTTCGAATGGGGCGTTCTTCAAGAAAACCGAAGAGGAGTCAGAAGATCGGGTGCAACCATGCACATGTCAGTCCGAGAGAAGACTGTAACATTAAATCCCTGAGGAGTCCAACAAAATCATAACGAAGGAAGTAGCCCCAGACCCGATTGAATAATAGCAAAGACGCGTGATTCACTCACGACATCCTCAGCCGCACTCACCCCGACCCAATGTTTCGCACTTTTACACAACAAAAATCCCCATCAATCACCTTCCCTTGGGGTCTTTGTTTCTGCGAAATGGCTGCGTGCAGTATTGATCACAAGTGTTACTTGATTGTAAACTCAAAGGATCGATTTGAAGATGACCAAGTGGCTCGCAATGACCTCAGCCTCATTATTTCTCGGCTACAAGTTCAGCTACAGCTCTGCTGAATGATGGTATTACAAACCGAAGCTGAAGACAGCTGGTCTCTTCTTCACCTGGCAACGATGTGCCTGTTTACTCTATTTCAACGGTGGAGGTCAATAGGTCGCATTCATACTCACTCTCATGTATTAGTTTTTCTAACGAAATCTCCGATGCAGTATCATCTCCTATGCTGCATGGTCCAGCAATATGCCCAGACTGCGACAAATTTTTTGAATGCGAACTATACTCGGCACAATCAGCGGCTGAAGCTGCCTAAAATCAAGCATGTCGTCAAAGGAGAGTGCAGGAGGCCGAGAGCAACACAAAACATCTAAACCCGATAACTCGACCCTCATGTCATACACGTAACATATTCGAGGTTCACACAGCTATTCATACGGCCCGGAGATTAATCAGCAAGCGGATCACAGAGATCTCGGTGCATCAAAGTTGGCAGACATATGGTGACCTCAAGCAGGTACAGACGGACCTAGGTGGCCTCGGAAAAGTACGGCGTGCAAGGTCAATTGAGCTGTGCCAAACTCACCCAAGCGTAAGTGGTGGGCCACTAAGCTTACGAAGCTGCGAGATCCTATACAAGCCGCCCAAATTCCACACGAATAAGATATGGTGTCCTGTTTCTGGGAAAGAATTCGAAGCATCAACTAGAAAAGCAGCCCATATAGTTCCCTACTCAATCAGCGAGGCGAACACTACATAATTCATGGGAACCCACCCGGACGAAGGGTACGGTGCGATTTGGTCGGAGAGAAATAACTTTATGCAGAAGAGACTTTTTACCGCGAGACCAACAACAGAGTTCAACCAAGCAAGTTGGGCAAGTGCTGTTCCATCTACTGCTGCCACTGGATCTCTAGAAATCCTCGAACAAGGGAAAAGCTCATTTTGAGCTTCCCACCACCCCCATGTCCTTTGGGCCTTGGAGAAATGTCAAGAAAATAAAAAGTAGTGAGCTACTTTGGTCATTAAGATTGAGGAAATACTATGTACTATGAGAGTATTCATGAGCCTTGAATTGGATATCACAGCATCATCGCTCAACGACAGCCACCTCGAATGGCAGCAACGGGGCTCGATAACAATAAAATGGAGATTTTGATTCATCCTTTTCCAGTCAAAGAAGTGACTACCAACAGATAGAGGTGCCTTGGCAGTATCACGAGCAAGGTCTACTCTTTAGCAATAGAATATGCTAAATGCTAGTACGAGTATTACTCAACTCGGCTTTCCCAGAGTAGGGACTAGGCAAGCACCCTAAGAGTACAACTTTGCACCCTAAGCAAAGCCCTCAGCCCACCAAGGGGGTCCTTAACATGGCCTCTACGCTCGCCATTCGGGGCCTTTTACATGTTCAGGAAGGCCCAGGCTCGTTCGCTTGGCTCGCTTACGACTTTCTGGACAAAAGTACCGCCAAGGACAAGGCTGCGCTAGCACTAATCCGATGGTTCTCCAAGTGGCATCTGACATGCCACAGGTGTCAACCAATGCCCAGGTGCCTAGTTTTGTGCCTAAAAGTGGCCTATGTGGGCATCCTGGTGCGCCCTGAACTGGGTCCGTGACATGGCGCGTCGCTCATCGCGTCATCGCGTCATTCCGGGTCGACGCAACCAATGATTCGCGGCACGGTTTCACCAAATCGCGTGTTCGTGGCTGCCTGACTTGCGCAGACAATCGATGTGTCTCCACCCTCTCGACACCCGACAATCCAAGAGCGAAGACATTACGCCAATACCCTTTGTGCATCTCAGGCTTGATATACCATTGCATTGTGTCTCCGGGCTGCTGATCTTTGCAGAGTAGCACCATGCAACAATTCTTCGGCCGAACCTTCGGAAAGAACAAGGACAGCGATCCGGTCGGGGACAAGAGCAAGCACAAGCACAAACGCAAGTACGAAGACGAGAGCGAGGAAGAGGATGAGGAAGAGGGGGACGCTCCAGAGACATCAGCGCGTGATGGTGTTGGGCCGCTATGTTTCGCTGACAGCTGCGAAGGAAACGCCAACGGAACTGATCTCGTTTTTGTACATGGATTTCGAGGCTCTCGATTGGAAACTTGGTCGTGCGGAGACACCTTCTGGCCCCGGGACTTGCTCCAGGACGATTTGAAAAATGCCCGAATTGTTACTTGGGGCTATGATGCTAGCTTTGCGAATGCCTTTACTTATGCTAGCCAGGAGAGCATCTTCGGCCACGCTGAGACCTTGCTCAATGACCTGGCGAGGTTGCGCAGAGGAATTGTATGTCTTTCTATTATACTTTGCAGAAAGCGCTGCTGCTAATGGAGGTTGACAGACTAGGCCTATCTTATTTATCTGCCACAGTCTCGGAGGCCTAGTTGTGAAAGAAGCTCTGATTAAGTCAGCGGCGTACAAGAACCACAGAAGACATTTGTCTCTTGGCGAGATATATGCTAGTACCATTGGTGTGATATTTCTCGGGACGCCACACCGCGGAAGCAGCCAGGAGGCTCTTGGAGAGGTGGTGGCAAATGTTGCCAAGCTTTCCTTTCGTCAACCAAACAATCAGCTCCTCCAGACATTGAAACCAGATTCCCACATCCTCGAGAATCAGCGAGACCAATTTACCACGATATCACGCAGCTTGAATATTGTCTGCATCAGGGAGGAGCTCCCAACAGGGCTAGGCTTGGTATGAATGGTCAAGAAGAATATGATTTGGTTTCAAGCCTCTGCTAAAAATTGATAATAGATTGTCGAAGAAGCCTCAGCTTGCTACGATGGATTCAACGTTCGCCGAGATGCGATCCACGCGAATCACATGAATATGGTGAAGTTCGCATCCAAGGGCGATGAAGGATACAAAAGGACTCTTGGACACATTGAAGACATCCGTAGTGTCCAAGAACCAGAGATTCAACAAGGTATGCTACGCAACGAACTTTCTTTGATTTAGGCAAATGACAGATTCCAAGTTTGACGACCTTCACCTTCCTAATGGAGAGTGATCGTCTAAGTTACAATTATACCGTATGTCATGAAAAGATCATACTACTAGAAATTTTCTAAGAGCAGCTTTTCAAACCCAAAATTTCTTGCCACGGATTTATGTCAAATCTTAGTCTTTTCCATATGATAAACTGACCATTTTTCAAGGAACGATAGATTCGAGTCTCAAAAATCGTGCTCCCTTGAATTCGCTTCACCTCATCTTGACTGCCGCTGAGAATTAGTAGATATATTGAAAGTTCTAAAATACTCGACGGTCTGCAATCGCGAGGGAGCCATCGACGAGGGATATGCACAGACCTGCTCCTGGATATTAAGTCCCCAATCGACCACCAACTGGGCATCTTCCCAGCCGTCTCAATTTTCATCGTGGCTTAAAGGCAACGATACCTTTTTCTGGATCAGTGGCAAAGCTGGTTGTGGCAAGTCTACTCTGATGAAGTATATATACCAGGATAACACGACCAAAGAGGAGCTCTCTATATGGGCTGATGGAAAAGCTTTGATACTAGCAGGTTACTTCTTCTTTGAACGAGGCGACGTAGATCAGAAATCCAGGGAAGGAATGCTCCGAAGCATTCTACATCAAGTACTAAGTACTCGACGCGACCTAATCCCTAAGGTCTTTGGCCAATTCTTTGAGAGCACGCTGCCACTTTCACAGGGTTTCATTTCCTGGAAAACTCTTAGCGGCTCATTTATCTCGATGTTAGACCATCTCCAAGATGCTAAGGTATGTTTTTTCTTGGACGGTCTAGATGAACAACGAATGATCGATCGAATGGATGAATACACCGAAAAGGAGTTGGACTTGATATATGATGGCACCAATGAAGATGAAGCCTGGGGCCAAAGCACTTGGATCACCGACGGATACAGGGAGATTGTGCATTTTCTTCGCCGGTTCAAGAACCGTGGCAACGTGAAGGTTTGCATTTCCAGTAGGGAATTGGGCATGTTTGAACAAGGATTCCGAAACTTCCCCAGACTTCAGGTTCATGAGCATACCGCAAACTCTATTGCCCAGTATTGTGAGGTTCGTCTAACAGAGGAGGCTTCATACCTCATGGATCGCCCGGATTTTGTGTTCTCAATAACCGAAAAGTCGCGTGGGGTATTCCTCTGGGTACGCATTGTCGTTGACATGCTGGTTAAAGGAAGTGCCGATGGCGATTCCAAGGAGGAACTCATGAACTCTCTCAATATTCTTCCTGCTAGGCTTGGTGGAGAAGATGGCCTCTATATGCACATGATGCGAACCATCGACCGGAAGTATCTGTCAGAAGCGAAGAGACTATTTCAACTTGTCATGAGCTGGGAAAACGATCGCCTCGAGGGTCCTCGATCTTATAACTCTGTTCTTAGCGGAACCAGGACACCTCGAAGCAGACAACAGGCAGCAGTTGAGGGCTCTAAATGAAAAAGTCCTGCTTAAAAGCTGGGAGGAATTGCGGCCCTGGTGGATAGATCTACAACGCCGCCTCAAGAGCCGATGCGGCGGACTCCTAGAAGGGACGGAGAATGTGCAATTTATGCATCAAACTGCCAAAGAGTTTATGTCCAGATACTATTTGTGGGATAAAATCTTCTACAGCTGTGCCGGTTTCGTTCGCCAATCGGACTTGGACCTTGCCATGTTGAGCGGCTTAGTTCGCCGTCTAAAATGCTGCAGAGAAGCCGCCATTATTCCAGATGTTCCAGAAGATCTGGATATTTTTGATGACCATCCTGGACTCAACGATGGGATACCATACTGGCCTGAGACTCCTCCACGCGGCTGCGAGCTTCTTGACGCTGCAATCACATACGCAATGTCCTCAACACCGCCCCGCGACTGCTTCGACCACTTCGTGGAGCTCGTTGACGAGCTAGATAACGCTGGCATTCAACTCACTAGGGATTGGAAAAACGAGCTCCCAGAGACATATAGATCATCTCAGATTGCAAATGTAAGCTGGATTGAATTCTTTTTGATCCCAGATGAGGAATCACATCCACTCTCAGCCAGTTTGAAGTTCAGGAGCTTCTTGGATTTGGCCATCTTATTTGACTTCGAGGTATACGTGGAAGCAAAGATTAAACGCAAGGAGATTACTCCATCTCAGCTACAGTCTTTGCTTCTACGGGCGACGCGGTTCATGCTAGTGCAGTGGCAGGGAATAGACCGTACCAGGCAAGAATACCCCAAACCGGGGATTTCCAGGATGCTACTTCGAAAAGGTGCTGACCCTAACTGTCGAGATGCGGAGTCGAACGCAGCTATAGCGTCAGAGCACGGTTGGACCGCATGGACGGGCCTACTCCAGGATGACTACTACGAAGGGGATCCTGGTACTGAGGATTACTTCTTGGAACAGTGGATTCTTACCGTGAAAGTTTTCCTTAATTATGGAGCCGACCCAACTGTGCAGTGGCACAGGCCGCACATAGACAAGAAGAGCGACGAACATAGACGAGTACTCGAACTTGCCAGCCCGGATATCATTTTTATCGAGGCACTGGCTGACAAGCCGAAATACAAGAAGGACTTAGCCGACATCATGGACCTTCTGAGCCGGGCGAAAGCTAACTGGGGTGATGGCACGGTGCAGAGGGAACAGGTAGAAGGGTACTAAGTTTGCGGATCACAATCTTTGGAAGGGCCTGATGGGATGGAATTGACTTTTTGCTGTGCTCAAGACTGAACAACAAGTGGCAGGAATAAGACAGCCTTTCATTTTTGCAACAGTGCCCAGTGAGAAGACTTGCAAATTGGCGTATGAGTCTCGCGTTGGGAGAACCACCATAATAGTTAAGCATTTGGATTTTCGACCCAATGGTGCACACGATGAAGAGTACTACGTTAAATGCTATACCATCCAGCGATATGATATAGTTTGCACCCTCGTAATTAGGCTAGCACCTCTCTTCCAAATCTAACTCATCCCATTAAACGAAATTACGGTGCCCGTTGACACTATCCTGAGGCTTGTTTAGCCCTTACTCAGTCTCTGCATGATACGCCTCTTTATCACGGCCGGGGTCCTGACGACCATAAGCTAAGATGTCCAAGTTTCTATCAAGAAATGCCAGGGGCAAGTCAATTTGGCGATCCCCAGAGGGATATTGACCTCTCATCAAGGAAAGTAACCATTGATAGCACTATAAATTGACAGTGGAACACATAGCCTTGTGACGGCTAGTCTGGAAACCCAAACCTACGGTACTAGACTAGGTGGGAGGGCGAGAAGAAAGGGGAATGGCATGTATGGTGTACAAATAGAAAACAGTGACACCCAGACGAGGCTGCGCCAAGACTAGTTTGAAGGGGAGCCCACAGTGCGACTCGATCTAAGCATGAAGCATTGGACCAGCAGGAGGAAGACCACCGGAAGCAAGAAATGCTGGGTCGACGGCGCTTTGAAGCTCGCCACGACATCGTTCAGTCATGGCTCCGCTTCTTCCAGAAGCATGACGACCTTCTTAGCTTTGGCCACTCCAACAGCCATTAGCTAAGGCCGGACACAGCGCGACTCGATTCAGCTGCACTCCAGAGCCGCATTGCTGACGGCGAACATGTGCCAAACCCGTGGGTGACATGAACGAGCTTCTCGCCACCGAGGAAACACAACGTCATGGACCTCCAAGCTATCAGGAAATTGCTGCAGGAGAATGCTAGTGTTGCCAAACCAGGTGACTATCTCGTCATAGGCAAATTGGAGGAAAGGATGAGGCCGCTGCAAAGTCCGATACCCAGCACTAGCTTTTTCTCACCACCGGACAACAACACCGGCACTCTTTATATGTTCAAGAATCGGCTGGAGGAGAATCCTAGTGTTAACCGATGTAGATGATTACCTCGCTATGGGTAATATTATTCAAAAGATGAAGATGATACAGAGGTCGACACCAAGTAAAAACAACCTTCGACTTAATACAAAGGGTACAAAGTGACATTACGTTGGAACCAATGGTCTGGCAGGGGTGACACCTCCATATTGACCAGGTCCTATGTGTTCAGTCCCTCTAAACATCCTCTATTCATTATGCTTTGACCCATCTGGTACCTTCATTCTTTGTTTCACAAGCAATCTAGTGAAGGAACCCTGGTAGTCTACATCCCGGGCCATACGAACAATACCAGCAAAGGGCGCATAACTTTGACTATGGCTCATCTATGGTTCGAGACGTGGCAATTGTCGACATGTCGCAAAACCGTCCAACGCTGTGCAAACCCCGTTGCCAAACCTGTCCCTATACTAGATAGAGCCTCATTCCATTGAAGGCGAGTGCTCTACATCCCGTCCCAAGGTTTTGGAGAATCTAGACGTGCAGTTGATGAAATAGACAAACATTTATGCAGTGGGAAATAGAAACCTTAGATCACAACGCTGCACACAGCTGGGCGTTTCTTTGGAAAGCCGCGGCTTGTGTTCTCAATATCATCGGCTCCTCTATATTACGTCACACGGGCGAGACGAGGATAGTCGCCCATCCGCGGCGTCAGTTGTCCTGCAGATACCGTGTGACAACTTAAGAGGAGCCAGCTGCGCCTGGAAATTTGCCTGTCCGATGTACGTTTCCTGGATCGGTCGATGTCTTTCAGCATAGCCAGGGTTCCGTGTTGACCTTCTCAGCAGTCATCTCGTAACGAGCAGTCGTGAGCAGCGGGAATGCCTCCGGCGAGCGAACGGCCAGAGCGAACGGATTTACGAGCAAATGCCAAGGATGCCAAGTTAATCTATTTCCTACTAAATTTGTTAGTAATCTGTCCTACACTACACCTCATCGCTTTAATACTTCATCGATTCCCTCATCGCCGCCGACCTTAATGTTAATATATCGCCTCTTTTACTCACTCGTTACTCTATACTCACTAGCGCTCCTATAACTTAGCGATAAAGCCTTACTAGCGGCCTATTATAATCCGAGCTATAAGTAGTTCTAACTAAGGTAGAGTTCCTTAATAGAGTAGATATAAGAGTATTAAGTAGGGAAGTTTTAGTATTAAAAAACGGGTCTAAATACGTATAGTCACGAGCTATTAAGTCGGACACCCACGTAATGGGCCACGCGTCGATATTGCCACCCCAACTACTATTTCATAAATTGTCTACTCTACGGCCTCATGAATACTAAATTGACTAGTGTACGGAGCGAGTACGTCGTTTGTCCGTACATCCTGGGTAGTAGTAGTTGTAGGTAAGCGTGATGTCGTCGTCGCCGCCGCTTATAAGGCCTCTATACCCTCCCTCGCTTGCCTTATTGTCTCGATACTTATAAAGACCTTATTACAGTCGATTACGACTCGCCGTTACCTCGTAGTAGTTAGCTTATTTAGATATATACGCTAAATAGTGAGTTCCTACGATTTTAGGGTAATATTCTACTGTAGTCGATTAATTGCCTTGCTTATCTTTTAGAGTAATCGACGCATTAGACGTAAAAGGGTCTCCTTGTGATGGGTTGAACCCATGAGTGTCTTGGTAAGAACTAGCGACGTCTAGATTCGACCGTACAGTTGTACAGCCGAACGATGTCACGTGATATCAATGGATGTCTTGGCAAGCGACGCTAAGACTAAACCAGCGATGCCTAGATTCGACCGTATAGTTATATAGCCGGACGATATCACGTAACGCTAATAGTTACCTAGGATACCGAGCGACCCACCCCAGGAGATTATATCTCCCTATTAGATAGCGGTAGGACTTCTTTCTCTCTTTTCTTTAGCTTAACGTCCTTATTAGATAGGTCCTATAGTAGTTAAATAAGCTTCTATTAAAACCCTTATATTACGTTAAGCTCGCTATTATATAGTTAAGAGAAAGAGTTCTTATCGTATAAAATAGATAACGAATTAACGGTAACGGGAAATAGCCCTCCCTAATAGGTAGCGTAGCTATTTTAAATACTATAAGTTTAGAACGAAAAGATAGTAGCGCTTAAAGTATAAATAGGATAATAAAACGAACGGAATAATCGTACGCTAGAGAGATTAACCTCTCCGACGGTAAATACGATAAAGGACGCTAATTTCGTACGATAAAAGGCTAAACTTCCTAAGTTAGCCGAATTTAATGGAAAGAGGGCTAAATTTCGCCTATAGTTAATATAAGCGCGAGCTAAGCTCGTTATCGATAAGTCTAGAGAGCTAGAGACGGTACGATTCTAGTATTTCTATAGTAGGTTAAGAGGGTACGCTCTCTTATAAATTAGTCCTTAGGTAGACTTCGTATAGGAAACTCTAGATATAACGACGGAAGGCCTTATAGGTTAATTAGTTACGATATACGATAATATTAGTGCCGCTAAGAGAGCTTCTAGAAAACTCTCTTAACTAAAATAGAAAGGAAAGCCTTTCGGTACTTTTCTAGCTAAATTCGATCGTATACTATTAGAAGCGAGAAGTCTAAGTTAGGCTAATCCCGTTAAAAAGACGTTCCTATTAAACTACTTATCGTACGAGTTACGTAATATTCTAGTTACTACTCCTATCCTAGTAATATATTATATTAGGGCTCGAGGCGCTTAGTCATGAGAGAAGAGAGAAGGGGCCTTAGCATAGAAGAACGAGCAAGGGAGGAAGAAAGTAGACGATCGAAGAGACAAGTAACGGAGGAGGAGTAACCTAATATACGCGAGCTAGCGGGGAGTACTAGATAGTAGTTATAAGAGTATAGTTTATAGAATTAAGAGCGTTTTTCCTTCTACGAGTTCGGCTATATAACTATATAGCCTAAATTTTAGTAGTAGTAACCTTTACGAATAAAGCTATTACGGCTTTATATACGTCTATTACGAGAAGTCTTAAAAGTATAGTCCTTTAGCGGGCTTAAGACTATAGAAATCGATAGCGTTACTATTCCTTCGCTAATATAGAAGAAAGAGAACTCCTAGTAACGTAGTCCTATCTCCTTATCTAACCTATAGAATAGGCGAGAATATATACCGATTTAATCTTAATATAAATAGTACTTCTTAAGAGAACGAACGAGTATTATAAGTATATTATCTTATAAAGGACCTTAGAACTATAGGAAAGACGACTACTAGCGGTTAGACCTAGGAGAAAACTATCCTAAGAGGTTAAAAACTACGAAAGAATAGGATATTAGTTTAACCCTAAGAACGACGAAAGAATAGATATATAATACTTCCGAAACTATTAGAAGAGTATTTTATTAAGAAAGCTTTTTCCTAACTTAAAACCGAGCGGAAAAGTTTAGGAACGACTTTACTAGAAACTCTCGAGTACTTTATTCGCTTAGTTAAATTAAGATACTTATTTAGAACGCGTAGAAGTAAACCCGAGGACGAATATAATTCGAGCGTAAGGTATCCGAAAAGCTAAGAATAATCGTAGATACCTAACTAAAATTCGTTTCGACTATATAACTATATAGTTTAACGAGACAAGTCTTTAGAAACTAATAAGTATCTTAATAATTCTTTTAGTATTATAATAGATAAGAAAAATAACTAAGTAGTAGATTAGTTATTTTATTTTTAAGTACGGAATCGAGAAAAAGATTAATAAAATAGCTATTAGAAAGACGATATCTAGTAACTTAAGTAAGGTAAGACTTAGTAAGGAGTAGAGGATCTAGAGACGAGGAATATCTACTAGATTAAA